AAAGCGGCCATTTATTTATTTATGGACAATATTTAGCTGGAAAACAAATTAAATCGAATTCATTAAATACCTGAATAAATAGTGTTTATGGCAAAAACATATTAATCTTTGGTTGCACTAAGAGAAAAATGTAAAGTTATGTAAAAATAAATAAGAAAAACACTATTAGGAAATTAAAAACAATAGATGTATGATATAAAAAGAATTTTATCTTAATAAATTCAACATTAAATTTAATAATAAATAATAATTAAGTAATTAAGTATTATATATTTTGTAAAGTTTAAATAAAATAATAATTATTTTTTCTCCGACTGCACTTACTTATTTCATATGCTAATCTCTTTCGAGCATTTTTGCCTTTGCCATTGGCATTTATCTAAGTTTTTTTTAGTTATTTGCCCACTCGTTTTTACGTGGCATGTTGGCTTAGCCACGCCCCCCGATCCCACGCCCCCGTGACCCCCAGTGACCCGTCTACCTGACCACACCTGCCACCATTTGCGGTTCGCTGTAAATGCATTTTTAATGCATTTCATTCCGTTCCTGTTTTTCCGTCGCTAAAAGCAAATGCACATTTAAATAAAATTTTATAGTTATGTCTATTTAAATATTGCAGTTGGTGGAGTTGTTGGTTGGCCAGCATAATTCTCAATCTAAATAAATCAGCGTCCGAGCTGCTCATAAAAACGTTCGCATTTTGGCCAAATGCAATAAGAGCCAAGTTTTCTAAGGCGCTGCGATGTCCGACAAATCTGGTCCATGCATCAGCGTTGACACTTTCTGTTGACTGCTGAATTTCGCTATTGCCTTTTTTTCTGAGTGGCAACAGCAATTGCACAACATAAACCAAATGGAATGGCAACGAACTACAATAAAATAAAGCGGCAAATAGGGAAAGAAAACAAGGAAAGCAGTTCAGGGAAGCTAAAGCATCAAGGTATAAACAAAAAGTTATTTTTCCAAGAACACCCGGAAAATGTCTTGGATTTATTTATTCTTTTGTTATCTGTTCAAAACAGTATGTATTTTTGGTGTAGGACCATTTTTGGCCAAGTTATAGCAAAAAAACAAACAGAAAAAAATCAAATTTTCCCAAAAACCCAGATCCAAGTTTTTCACAAAAAATACTTCGTTTTTTTGCCGTAACAATCGAAATATTGATCCAAATATGGAATGTCATACCTTTCTGAACTCGTTACTAAATTTCCTATCGATTGGCATTTAAACCTGGATATTTTATTTTTTTGCCATTTTTCGTAAAAAATCATGAGGTACCCCCTTACAAAAAAATTGAAAATTTTCGAAAATTTTATTTTTGCAGGATCATCCGGGAAGTGTTATGGATTTTTTTATTATTTAGTTATCTGTTCAAAACAGTATTCATTTTTGGTGTACGACCATTTTTGGCCAAGTTATAGCAAAAAAACAAACACAAAAAAATTCAAATTTTTATCAAAAACCCAGATTCCAATTTTTCACAAAAAAATAATTCGTTTTTTCACCGTAACAAAGGAAATATTGATCTAAATATGGATTGTCATACCTTTCTGAACTCGTTATTAAATTTACTATCGATTGGCACTTAAACCTGGACATTTTATTTTTTTGCCATTTTTCGTAAAAAATCATGAGGTACCCCCTTACAAAAAAATTGAAAATTTTCGAAAATTTTATTTTTGCAGGATCACCCGGAAAGTGTTATAAATTTTTTTATTTTTTAGTTATCTGTTCAAAACAGTATTCATTTTTGGTGTAGGACCATTTTTGGCCAAGTTATAGCAAAAAAACAAACAGAAAAAAAATTAAAGATTTTCCCAAAAACGCAGATCCAAATTTTTCACAAAAAATACTTGGTTATTTTGCCGTAACAATGGAAATATTGATCCAAATATGGAATGTCATACATTTCTGAACTCGTTATTAAATTTCCGATCGATTGGCATTTAAACCTGGACATTTTAATTTTTAGCCATTTTTCGTATAAAATCATGAGGTACCCCCTTACAAAAAAATTGAAAATTGGCGAAAATTTTATTTTTGCAGGATCACCCGGAAAGTGTTATGAATTTTTTTATTTTTTAGTTATCTGTTCAAAACAGTATTCATTTTTGGTGTAGGACCATTGTTGGCCAAGTTATAGCAAAAAGACAAACAGAAAAAATTCAAAATTTTCCCAAAAACCCAGATCCAAGTTTTTCATAAAAAATACCTTGTTTTTTTGAAAAAAAATCTACATAATTGTGAAACCAAGGTAAACGAGCCTTTCCACCTCCACCGGAATTCCCCGAGAGCAAACTCCCTTAACCCCCGAGCGCCCCTCCGTGGTCGATTCGCCCCTTTGTCAGCCTTTAACACGTTGACATCTCACGGGGCTGCTGCTCAGTTTGCGTTTTCTCGCTGTCAAGCTGCCTCCTGTTATTTGTTGCAATTTAAGTGACTTGGAATTGCAATTTATCGTTGCCGCTCTGAAGGGGAAAATCAGCCAGCACGCCCTTCTGCCCGCCCTTTTATTTCCTTTTTTTTCGTTTTCGGGCCAGGAATAAACAAGCTGGGGGAAAGGGCAAGGGAAAAACGAAGAGAGAGGAGCCAGAGAAATATGAGAATTTAGTGTAATGTTGTTTTTATTGCAACTTCATGTGCGGAATGCGTAGCAGGGCATTAAAGTGTTGTTGCATACACTTAGCCACCCCCTAAGGGACGAGGGGTTAAGGGGTGTGGATGGCGGAAAAGCCAAGTAAACTTTCCCCGAAGGACGATCAAGTGACGATTTCCGTTTTGTGTTGCAGAAGCTTCTTGGATTTTTCCTAGCTTTTTTTGTATTAAGTCGAGGGAAGCTGGATGAATTATTTTTATAGATTTATTTTTAAGTATTATTAAGTATTTAATTATTTTAAAAAACAATTTTTTAAAAAGGAATATATTAAAGTTATAGATTAAAATGTATTTTTTATTTTAATTTAAAATATGTAAAACTAAATTGGAACAATTCAAATGTGGTACAGAAAAAACGCCAATTTAAATAACAAGATAAAGACAGATAAAGCGAGAAAAATCACTGCTATTATGGTCCCAAAAAAGTCCATATGCCTTGGACATTCGAATTTTGATAGTCCTTTGTCCGTTTTTTTCTTTCTTTTTCATTCCGTGCTCCCCGAAAGCGATATTGTAAATTTCTTTATATTTGTCAAGCCAATTGAAAAGTTTGCGGCAACTTTGTGTTGATTTAACACCCCCCAGCACACATAAGACAACAAAGTCACAAGGCTGTCCGTCTGTCCGTAAGTCCCTCTGTCCGTTTGTCCTTCCATCAATGAAGTGGGAAAAGGCAAAGGAGAAGGCAAACTTTGCTGGCCAGGATATAAATAAGGAATTGTATGGTAAATGGCCGGCAAGGAAAACAACGAAACAAGATGGGGGGAATTATTTGAAAAGAAGAAGTGAAACAATGAGGTGGGTGAATGGGTGGTGCCAAGTGACCACACAGTGATTTACGCTCATGAAATTGAGTTGTGGGGCAAATTATTTATGAACAAAGCGCACACACAGGAATAACAAACAACAAACGACGGCAAACGAGGATTGTAATGCCCAGGGTCCACTGGACAATATGCAGTTTGTGGAAGTGGAAATGGAATCGGTATCGAAGTCCTTCCCCCGAGAAACAGACAGACAGTCAGAGGAATGTCCCTTCTGCGGACAGCTTAGAGGAGCGGCGGCAGTGGAAACTCTGGAACTCCAAACTTTTTGCGCCCCGAAAATAATTTATTAGCGGCAAACGAGCAAAAGTTTTATGAAAATTCAAAAAACACAAGAACAAACAGGGAAAAAACAGAAAACACAGGAAAAAACACAATCGAAACAAAGGCCAAACAAGTGCAAGTTGAAGTTGAGGTGAAAGAAGAAGTTGATGAAGTAGCTCCGCCGGCACCCTCAACTCGGCCAACATTTCATTGTCAGTCGAGAGTCGAGTTTTGCGGAATCGGAATCGTGCGCTTTGTTTAATATTTTCAGACTCTGTCAAAAAGTTCGGGGCTCACGGAGTTCGAGTGAGCGAATTTATTTACTATCATGTCGGCCAATGAGCTGGAGCCATAATTCGGGTATATTAGCTATCTAAAAAAATATAAAAATATTTCAAATGATCACGGCAAACGTTTATAATGATTGCAGAGTTTTAACGAAGTTCTAGTTGATTTATTCTGAATTTCTAGAATTTATGAATATGTAAAGTAGCTCATAAATTAAATAAATGTAGGCATTCCATTGTAATTTTTTTATTTATTGCATTCCGGGAAAGTGAGTAATTTTACTTCAGTGATAGGCACCACGATTATTTCATAATTTCCCAGAAATTAAATAAGACAGAGTATTTCCTGTGCGCTGTCTCCCAATAACTGCTCAAGTTTCTCTTGTTATTTATTGAATTTGGCACACAATTGCACAGAAGCTTATTTGCCCCCCGTCCTTATCCTCCAGGAAGTTGTCCTCGTCCTCTTCCTTTTCAACATTCAATTGCTCCTGGCTGAAATTTATGAAATTTATTCCGGTGTCTAAGTTTGCCCATACTCGTATTTCTTAGGCCAAAGCAGGAGACGACGCTAGGTGCCAATGACAGTCGCATTACGCATACGCCCCGTTATCCCAGATATTACGTATACGCAGTGCGGGCCGTTCGATATCATTGCATATGCTTATTTTTAGAGAAAACAATTTCCGTTGCTTAGCAAAAGCCTCTCTGGCCCCCTTTGTATGCAAATGAGCAGAACGAAAATTTCTCATGATAATATGCCATTAATGAGCGGCATTATTTCCCCCATCTCTGCGATTGTGTGTGTGTGAGTTGCGTATTGTTCGCCAATTAATTGAACATCGCTTAATGCTAAATATGTATATATAATAATTGCAATAATTAAAACCCGTTTGCAATCAGCCTAGCAGATCAAAAGGGAGAAATGTTTGCACAAACAATTGCCCAACAATTCGCCAAGCATCTTGAATTACTAAATAATCGACATTTATTGTAGTCTATGTGTGTTTATATGGCTAAGGAGTCTTGTGTTTAGTGCGGCCCCTACGACTTCTTGAGCGGCCGGATGAGCATGCGGACGTAGCTGAGGGAGCCGGTGGGTCCTGGCAGGAAGGTCTTCCACAGGATGCCCTTGAAGTAGCCAATCTCCTGGCCGTACTTCGACTGGAAGGTGCCAAAGAGGTTGCTAAAAAAAATGTATAGGAAATTATATTAATTATTAAGAATTTTAAAAACTATTTATAGTTAATCACAATTTTTTATTTTAATTTTCAGAACTATTTTTAAAATTTTTACTATATAATTACAGTAGCTTTCGAGTCTAAAGTGTAATTATCTAAAGGTGTTTGCAATTATCTAGTTAGTGGGAATTACACCTCATTTAAATAGAGCAGAGAGCTAGGCAGCCTGAATAAACCTGTTTATAAATTTTAAATATTTGTAGAAGGGTAATTTAACTCCCTATTATATTTGTATACCTTCTCTTTTTTATTTTTTTATCTTTTTTGATGTTTTTTACATTCTGCCGCTGCATCGTTTAATGATTAATTTTACTGATAATTTTTTTTTTCCATAATAAATATTTATATTTATTCTCTAGGTATTTTTTCACTCACCTCTCGAAGCACTCCCTTCCGTACCACCAGGCACCCGCGTGAGTCCTGGCGCAGTTCTGGCCATTATCATCGTTGTCCTGATCGAAGGTGGTGAACTTCTTGCCCGCATGATAGCGCAGCGAATCGCCCGCATCGCCCTTGTAGGCGCCCAGGACATACAGAAGATACTTCTCCGACTCGCTGCCAATACTGAAGTGATCGTACAGGGCGAAGCGCTCCTCCCGATTCTTATTTCGCATCACGATGAGCAGCTCGTGGTGCTCGCTGTTCGTCAGGCGGTGCAACTTGTCCAGGCCGATGAAGAACTCCCCGTTAAGGGCCCCAAAGCCCGACTTGTAGTTCTGCCAGTCCTTGTTGAAGTCCTCGCTGCCGTCGTACCGATAGGCGATCACCATCCAGCCGCCGCCCCTCACCTTCTGGTCGCAGCTCGCGAAGAAGGGTTCCACATCGGGTGCAATCCGGATCCTCACCTGCCCGTGCTTCTCGTCATGGCAATTCCTGGGCGTATCATCGGTGGGCGTGGCCAGGGCCAGGGGAAAGGTCTGGACACTGGGCGGCAATGGGCGGAGCCTAGGAAATAAGAGAGGGGATTTTTAGAACTACAGAAATATTCATGCAAGACGAAATAAATTTATTCAATGAGTTAAATAAATGGAATTAAATATTTTGTACAATTACGGGTTGTTAAAAAGTTCTATATAAATTTGTAGGGCATTTAAATATTTTACAAAAATGAAAAACATATTTATAAATAAAAAATGAAATTCCAGGAATATTTAAAATTTAATTAGTCTTCATCCCTCTCTTATTAACTTACAATCTGGTTGCAATGGGCACTCCAGTGCCCTGATTTTTATATTCCTCTATAAGTCCCTGCAGTTCATTGAGTTCACTTTTAAGAGATTGCAGCTCATTCGTCATGAATTGTATGCTAAAAAGTTAATTTCACATTAATGGGAAATCAATTATAACATTTTAAAAAGCAACTCACCGAAGTGCTAGGCCACCCAAAGTGCTAACAGGACAGCTGGCAGTGCCCTAAAAAGAAAAAGAAGAATGTATTTAAAAATATTTTTTTGTAATATTAAAACTGTAGTTGTACGCACATTTTCAGAGAGAAGAAAAGGCTCCGCCGAGTTTCTCATTATCACGGAAAAGTGTTTTCCTGGCAAGTTGCTCGTGGCATTTGTGGTGGTGCTGAGGCAGGCCAAAGCCGTGACGAGCGCCTCCAGCGCCATTCCGATTTAATAATATATAATTCTCGATATATATATATATTCCGATTCCGATTCCAGCCTGAATTCCGAATGCCAGCGACTGCAACGCAGTTGCAACTGCTCGTCTGGGCAACTGACTAAGTAAGCTGGCTCACTAGCTTACTACCTCACTGGATTACTTACTAGCTGGTGGATGATTGGAGATGCCACAAAAGTCACGACAAAAGCGATCACCGTGACGCAAAGATCACTGATCTATAAAATTTTAAACTAATTTATTTATAATTTAATCTAATTTTTTAATTTATTTATTTTACGTATTTTTTTTCTTTAAATATAAATTTAATTGTCTCAGTAAGAAAATTATATGTTTTAGGTAGAACAACAAAGAACACAATAATATTTAAAAAATAAATAAAATATACAAAAAAAATATAAAAAATGTAAGATCTATCTCTACAAACTTTTCTTAGTTGTTTTACATAAATCCTATAAATCATACAAAAATAATTAAGGTACCCTGGGTCATTTTTTTCTCCGTGTACTTTTAAGTGTTGTTAACTAAATGTACGATGATCACTGGATGAGAAAGCACTGCCCAACACTAGTCGATGCTGCTTAGCATACTCGTTTCTCAATGCGAATCAATCGAGTGACCTTTGTTTTCATTCGCACTAGCATTGTGCCTCCGATCGGTAGTTAGTATCTAGTTGGTTACTTAGTTAGTTAGTCACGCAGTTAGCTAGTCCAGTGGCCAGTGAAAGAGAGTAGGAAAATGTCGCAGATGCTCCAGCTGGACGCCTTGGTCATGGCCATGGCCTGTCTGTCCACCACGCAAACAGATCTGGGCGGAGGTCTGATGGTGCCGCCCTCCTTGGAAAATGCGGTGAGTTTTGTCGGAGAGTTTCGCGGAAAAGCAGTAAACTTTGAACTGTACGGGCAGACCAGTTTCTCGTGCATCTAATATATTGATACGATGTTTTAGATTAGTATAATTAAAATATTATTTATTATTATTGGTTTAATATATTATAACCAATTGTTAAACATAATTAAATCAAAAGAAAACAGTTCATAATTTATATTTATCCAACATTTAAGCAACATAATATTAAAAATTTAATTTTATAAACATAATATTAATAAGATAATTATAAGTTAAAAACTAGTTCAAGAATAAGTATTGAAAGTTGGAAAAATTAAAAAAGAATACACATTTGTTATCAAAGTAAGAATAAATATTATAATTCTTTTTTCACGCATCGTTTAATCTTCCCCTATTAATATGCTTTTCCAGAGCTCCCAGAGTTGTCCCGTTTCGTCCTTGAGTGGCCTGACCACCCGGATGCAGTCGCTGAGCAGGGAGATAGACAGTGTAAAGGAGCAAATCGGAAGTCTGCAGGAGCAGCTGGTGGATCTGCGGAGAACGGGAAGTCCCCCGGTGGTGGCACTCGGTTCGCCCAATGTTCTGGCCTCTCGATTGTGGGTGTAAATAAAAAATATAAATAATATACCATTAAAATTCGTACCCCCCGCAGCTTGGATATTGAGCCACAACTGCTGGGCACTGGTGGCGCAGTTCCTGGATCCGCCGGGACTCCCGAAAACTGCCTCAAACAGCAGCACGGGGTGGTGCGAATCCGACCGCGTGCGAATGTCGAGCCCTTCTTCGTTTTCTGCGATCAGAAAGTGAGGAACGGCGGTTGGACCATGGTGGTAAATCGCTATGACGGCAGCGAGGACTTCAATCGCAAGTGGGCCGACTATCAAATAGGCTTCGGCCCTCTGACCACCGAGTTCTTTATCGGATTGGACAAGCTACATCAGATAACCAGTAGCGATAACTACGAGCTGCTGGTGCAGCTGCAGAACAGGAAACAGGAACTGCGCTATGCCGTCTACGATCACTTCAGCATCGGCAGTGAGTCGGAGCAGTATCGCCTGAATGTCCTGGGAAAATACCAGGGCGATGCCGCCGATGCACTGCGTCAGCACACGGGCAAGAAGTTCAGCACCCACGATCGGGATAATGACGAAAGCGAGGCGAATTGTGCGGCCCAGCAGTCGGGGGCCTTTTGGTATGGCAGTTCCTGCAATCTCAGGTGGGTTTATAGTTTTTTTTTGGATTTTTATTGCATTTATTTAAATATAAATATAACCCACAGCAACCCCTTTGGACTCTATCAACGCCTCCTAGAGCGAGATGTCGATGGCTTCAAAGGCATCTTGTGGCGCGGTTTCCTCGACGGACCCAAAGGCTCTCTGAAAATTGTTCGCATGCTGGTTCGTCCGCGGGCTGTTTCATAAATAGGTATTCAGTATATTTCACCAGTCACACTTTAACAACAAAAAAACACCCAACAGGTTAAAAAAAAATAAACAAAAATTAGAAATAAACATAAAATAAATTCGATTTAGACTTCGTTGAGCTTGTCAGTCTCTTCGGTGGTTGTGGTGGTGCGCACAGTTGTGGTTGTGGTGGGATCCTCGGAACCCTTGACCACCAGGGCATCTCCGAAAACTGGCTTGAAGAAGAGCACGAAGCGGGAGTAGCGACGAGCGGAGTTCTGAGGGGAATTAAAAAATATAAAATACATTTAATTTAATTTAATTAATTTTAAATAATATTTGTAAATTATTATCCATGCATATTAAAGAAAATATTAGTAAAACGCATGTGCCAACAAATAATATAAGGTTCTTGCTCAAAACTTTAGTTATATATTTTATATTACTTTTGTTTTTTAATTTTAAAAATTAAAGACTAGTTCCAAAAGAACAAAAGAAAAATCTAAAAATCCATATATGACCACCACTTACCAGGATCAGTCGGGATAGCGACTTGGAGATATTGGTGACCGTCAGCAGGGACTTGTTGAGCAGCTCGGAGGGCAGTTCCAGGGAGGCGTCGCTCATGATTTCGGCGGCATCGCTCAGATCTTTGCCCCCCGCCCGACGACGCCTCTTGGTCTGATAAATATATAGATAAATATATAGAGATGAGTACAGATGAGCGAAGTGAGTGAGCAGAGATGGCCGTAAAATTCAAATCCAAAATCCAAAAACCCAACATCGAAAATCCAAAAAACCCAAGGCCAAGGCCGCCATTGAAACTAGAGTGTGAAGTAAATTGGTTTTCTGTTTTCGGTTTTATTCGCTTTTGTGGTGTCGTGGATTTTTCTACATACATTATTTATATATATATTTTTTGTTTATGCCGAATATTTACAAACATGAAACTTAACTAGGGGTGTAAACAAAAAAAAACCTAAAAACGATTCGAGTTGGAAATTCAACAAAGATTCTGATGGATGGTGAGGGGATAGAAAAGGGTTCAACGATAAGTTACAGCTCTCATTGGATCGTTGGTCTCGTATCGTAGGTAGTATCCTTCCCTAGTAGCCCGCCTCATCGGAATCGGGAGCAGGTGACGTCACGCCGGCAATGCCATTGACGCCGCCGGAGGATCCCTGCAGGATGGGTCCCGAGAAGCCGAGGAACTTGGATACCACATTTCCCAGCCCGGCATTCGCATTGCCGCCGCCTGAAGAGGAGCCGCTGAAGGCGGTGATGGTGGTCAGCACACCGGTGGTCAGGTCATTAGCAATGTTGCCAATCGAACGGATCTTCGGCGAGACGACGGCGGTGATGAGGGTCTGGAAGTCCTTGATGGGCACCGGCGACTTGATGTCCCACTGCTTGTTCTTCTCGATATTCGAACGGTCCAGCTGCTCAATCACCCGGGTCTTAGTGTCCAGGAAGTTGTCGATTTTCTATTATTATTTTGGGGAAATATTTTTGATTTTATATATTATATTTTTTTATATTTTATGAACTTTTTTTATATACTCACACCAAAGACAAAGCCAAGCACCGCATTCTTAGCCTCGAATGTGGCATCGGGCAGTTTTCTTTTGTTGCGCTCCTGGACACCTAACACCTCCTGAAAAAGGGAAATCGAAGTGGAAAATACAGGATCACCCACAAGGGAAGGGATCAATGGAAGCCAGGTAAAATTGGTCCTCTCTTGGATTGTTTGCAAGACTTTTTAATATTATTTTTAGTATTTTTGATACCAATTTTAACCAAACGTTTTTGAAATATTTTCGAAAAAAATCTATTTTGTTAAGAATTCAATAATAATACATATTTTCGTTCACAACATAGTAATTTCTTGGCACATGCCAATATTTGCCAACTTCTTTTACGATCTCTAAGTATATATATTTATTCTTACAGTCATGTTTTTTCTTGCCTAATTGCCGATCGATCGGGCATTTTCGGACTTGTCTGGCTCTAATCGATTGGATTCTTTGCCTAATTACACCTGACTTCAAGTTTAATTGCTGCCAAAGAGCGGGTAAAAAAGCACTCGACAGAAACCGGGGGGCCAGTTAGACTTGACCCAATTTTCGGGGCTGGTCAAAGAAAAAAAGCAGAGAGATAATAAAAACACTCATGTACGTACATAAGTAATTATATCACTTGTGGACCCGGGGACCTTCGGTCATTCTAAGCCGATATGTCTATGGCCGTATGTATAAGGTATCTGGTATATCTGGCACTTTCGGACCGCTTCTCAATCGTTCGCTGGTCCAAGGCACTTAAAATTCACATCGTCACTTGGCCATATGTATGCAGCGCGATATCGGAGCCAAAATCAACTCATTTCCAACCCGAACGCATAATCCAAATCCAAACCCTCGGAATCGAATTTCCAGCCGACCTGAAGCAGCTGCGATTTTAGTGCATTACTCTCCGTACTTGCAATTATACGACCTTTTTATTTCATTTAAATTAAGGCTTCTAAGCCTCTAATAAAGTTATGAAAAAATAATAGTTGACATGATTTGAATTTATTAAATGCAATCTAAGAAATGAGTCATCATTTATCATTCAAAAAGAAATGGAATTTAAGAAATGAAATTTAAAAATTATATTAAGTAATAATGAACAATTAAAAAAATATTTATCATAAGCCAAAATCAACAATTTATGAAATAAAAGTATTTACTAAAAAGGTATTAAAAAATAAAAACCATTTATGAATTACTTTAAAAATAATTTTTTTGAACTTCTAAAAATCTGTAATTAAAACAAAAGATTTCTTTAAGGTTGGCTGTCAACGAAATTATTTTCAAACATGTTGCTGAAAGGTTGAACGAAATGGTCTTTAAGTCAAAGAGACAAAAAGACAAGACAACGACAGTTAATCAGCTTGAAAACGCTTAACAAAAATTCGCCTTCAGCCCACAGATTTTGATTACGACTAATATCTTGAAAATTATGCAATTCATTTTGGCGTTTTCAGTTCATTGTTCTGCCATTCTCCCTCTTGAGAGTTTTTGAGAGGTTGCCCAACAGAAAAAATGCCTCGAGCAGCCCACATGGTCTATTTTTTTTCGGTCGTTTTGGGTTTCGAGAAGCTAAAACAACTAGGCGATTTATTAGTTTAACAAAACGCTAAACACATTACGCTCTACACCTTTTTTTCGCCTTTTGTTTTTGTCCGTTGAAGTGACAAACAAAAAGCGTGAGCTATGATTTATATAGAGCTAAATCAGGTCAGTTGTTGAAAGCTGAACGAGCAGTTAAGCGAAGGGATTTACAACAAGTTTAACTACTACTCGAATGGAAAAGTGGAAAAATGTTGGCTAAGATAATGCTTTGGATATTGCAAAAAATAAAGAAAAGAGTTTTAAATATTTCTAAATATTTTTGAAGGCAGAAAATTTGTAAGCAGGTTTAAATTAAACGTTTGCTTAGGTCTTCTGAATGAAATGGAATTTTCTATCATTTTGTGAATAGTATGAACACATGGATTTCTGTAATTTCCCCAATTTCCCCCACAATTACCACGATTTCAATGCTTTTCACTGCGAATGGCTGAATCAATAAACACGAAGACGAAGAAATAAATATATGAACCAACTTTTTGAGGCGCGGAAATGTTTCACAATCCGTGCGAATAAGAGGAAGCGAGAGGAGAAGAGGTGATGAGCCATGAAGAGGCTCCCTTATGCTCTCACTCGCTCTCTTTCCCTCTCTTTCTGCCCGCATCTACCCGTCTCTCTTTGGCCAAGGCGTTGGCTTTGGTTTTATTTCGGTTTTTCGGTTTTGGCTTTTGGAATGATTTTGAAATGTTAACGTAGGTCGTTAACAAGTTTTGTCGCCATCAAGGTCGTCTGGTCGGTCGAATGGCCAACGAATTCGGAATCGAATTTGGCTTTAAGCCGATCTCTTGGTCCATTTTAAATATTTCGCCTGATTTGCATACGAGCGGGCGGGTGGCCAGAAAATTGGCCAGAAGTCGGTTCAATGCACCATAAAATTAGCAGCTAGCAGCTTGCACAACGGGCAAAAAAGCGTTGGAAATGAGAGAGGGAGAGAGAAAAAAATTGGGAGAGCGGGAGGGAAATGTTACTTTCACGCCAGGAGACAATCAAGTTTTCCCCTTTTTTCGCAGACTTCCTTGTTGGATTTTCGGATTTTTCTCGGAGGGTTTCAGTTTTTTTTCTAAGATTTCTTTACCTCTGCATTGATGGGATTCAAGTCGGGATCGCTGGTATCCTGGAAGTTGGCCTCCAGTTCAGAGTTGATTTGCTGGGGAGCGGGCAGGCCCAGCGATAACGATAGCAGTGCCGATAGCACGGCCATCGATAATAACAAACGGCTCCTGGTGAACTGCATATTTATTTTCTGCAACAACAAAAAAATAACTTTTGTTAGAGATTTTAGCTGTGGAAAATTTTCAGTTATTTTATATAGGAAATGTTTATTTATTTTTCTGTACCGCAATATAGCAAAATAACAAAAAACAACACTTAAAGCTCAAAACCACAAAATGTGTATGTTTGGTTTTTGTTTTTCTCTGTCGTTCGGATGCCGCGCCGCCAGATACGCGATACTAGCACGTTCACTAACTTTAAGCAAATGACTGCGGACGAAAGTTACTTCAATGATTTAGCAGTGGCCAAAAAATCGGTTACACAGCCCACGGCGCATGCGCAGAGCTTTTTGTTTAGCGCCGCTGCGCAGTCCACTCAAAAAATCCAGTGCCGATCCACCGAATACAGCGACCAAAAATCCCAGACCAAATTGAATTTTATTGCCGCCCGATTCGTGGATTCATGGATTCGTTGAATTCGTTGGATTCGCTGCCTTTGAATGCAAGACGTCGACGGCGACGCTGGCAGCGATTCGAGCGGAACGCCGGCGCAAAAAACACGTTTTTGAGCGCAAATCCGAACGAAAAGCGCTCAATAAAGTGCAAAACCAGCCGCCGGAGATGTTAAGTCACCGGTGTTGTTGTCTTGTTAATGGTGTTTCTGCTGCTGTTTCTGCAATGCGCTTTTAATTTGTACTCTTTGGCTTTCAATTAAGCCACACACTCACTCACACTCACTCGCACACTTACACAAACAGGGGCACAAGTCGGTCATACGCGGCGTATGCGCAATGTGCATTCTCAAGCACTTTTTCGGAAGCCTGTGGTTATATAAGGGTCGCGATTGAGGTCCTAAGGGAATCAACATTCTCTCAATTTGCATATTTAACATTGGGAATAGGAAAGGAGACTTTTAAAAATATATAAATAAGTTTTATATGAGTTCTACATTTTTTATTTTATTTTATTGATCGTGGTTTCAAAATAAAATTCTAGGACCTTAATTTTTGTAATATAATCTTAAAAAATCATGGGTTGGAAAACAAGTAATTCCGCTTATTAAAAAATAAAGAAAAATCTAAAAAATCCAAAAATAAATCAAAAATAAGTCTATAAATATTAAATAAATTGAAAACCTCACCCAGAGCTAAGCCACCTTCCTTGACCCTAACATTGACTAAGAATTTAGCACCAGCTGGATTTTCTAGTAGATCGAACCAAACATAAGTCGAAATGAAATGCCTATGTAAACTCGCATGTTAATGCGCTTTTTACGATTAATAATCAGCATAAATTATACGTATTTATGGCTAGAAGTAAAATGTCGTCGGCTAGAGAACAAAAACATAAAAAAAAGAATACAAGCTAAAGAAAATGTAATCAAGTCGCTCGCCTTCGGAAAACAGAGGGAGACCGATAAATTGGAGTCAAAGTGCGCGTATCGAATTCAGACGAAACTTAATAACTGGAATTGCATGTCGAGTGCATGGACTGCACTCCAATGCGATCCAATCGGATCTGATACCATACGATCCAATCCGATATGATCCAAACCGATCTGATTCGATTCGAAAAGCTGCATGTGTAATTAGTCAATTCTGCGAGCCGAGTTCTGAATTCGTAACAATTAACTAAATAAATCGCCTGCAATTTCAATCGAATCGAATCGAAGCAGTTGATTAAGTCAATTTTGAGATTTAAATTGGGCGAAAACCGAATGAGATCATCTGCACTCGACTTTAGCATGTTTATTATGTTTCCCATGCAATTTCATGATTTATTGGTCAATTTTCGACTTTTTTTGTTAAGTAAATTGTTTGGGACATAAATATTTCAAATTGTAAGGCATAAATACAAGAGTATTTTCACAGAACTATTTTTGTGAAAAAAGAACCCCAAGAATGTGTAAAACCTTTTCAAAAATAATAAATAAAATACTTTAACTATGCAATTGTTTTCAAAGAATTATTTTAGCTAGTGAAGATAGACGTTACTTAATCAAGGACTTATCACATTAATTCCGAAATCCTTGAGGATATCCCCTGTAATCAACCTATCAGGCTCTCGTTTAATTGCAAATGTCACTGCCAATTTCTGGGCGCTTGGGAAGCAGAAACCTTTCTACTTAACCCCTGGCCGCCAGTCACCTAACTTAACCCGTTTTTGCGGCAATCCGGCAATTTGCTTATCAATGTGCGGGCTCAATCAACGCCTCGGCCCAAGGTCATCTGGGTCGTTTGCCGGAACGGTACCGAAACATAATCCTTAATTGACATGAAGAGGTGCTGGTGGCGCACCTTGCCATGTTTTCAGCTTTATTTCTCAGCTCATATGACGACAGCCGAGCGAGGGGCCCAGATAAAGCAAAATTAATGCGCGCATCCGTTGAAATGACAAATAAAAAATGTAAAAATTTCAGCAACGAAACCGCAAAAATAAAAAAATGAAGAAGAGACAAAATGCAAAGTGCACGCTCGGCTGTCAGCGTTTTTGTGGGTCACAAGGTCGGGAGTTGTCTCTTCAGGGGCCTCTGATCTGCAGCTCCTCCACCTGCAGATCCATCTCCATCTTCATCTCAGCATCTTCGTCTGTGTCTTTTTATATCTCTCGTCTTTTTTACAGATCGCAGAACCTGTGCCCAGTGCATGCCCGAGTGCCTCTTACTTTGTGGCCTTAGCTAAATTAACTTTCAATTTTCTTGTCGCCGCACGAAGCCCTTGAAGATGTTTTTTTTTTGACAATTAAAGCCACATTCTGACCCATTTAGAGCCCGGTAAGTATAAGTTACTATATTTGACATCTAAATATTTATGACCTGTTAATATTATTAAGTAAGAAATATTATATTTAAAATTAGGGACTCCTTCTTTATTTTATAGAAATTTCCATCTTTTGCGACACTTTCATATTTCAAATTAAAAATGTATCGAAAAGATCGGCATTTAAAAACGATCCAGCAGCCAGTTGTTCTGCCTAATTTGGCAGCTCAATTAGCAAATTATCCATGAAAATTCAATTACAGCTCGTTGCCGTTGAGGCGCCTCAATTAGAACGCCATAATTGCTGCTGGCCAGCCCCTCCAGTCAGTCAGTAAGTCAATCTGTCAATCTGTCCATCAGTCTTACAGCGCGTGTCATAATGTTTATGACAGTAAAAACGCAGAAAAAAAACATCAAAACACGGGCGTACTTTGTCTTGGTTTTTATTCAAGCCAATCTCGCAGAAACAGAAACATGCCGTTTTGGCCTGGCCAAGACCCCAAAAAGGCGCCCCAAATCCTTGCCCCCTGAACCCGAGTGACTTTATTTATTTTTGTTTGCCACACAACCAGATCTTCATTGCATTTCCAGTTTCGCCTTTTGGTTACAGTTTAAGTTTTAAGTTTTTTTAGCGAAAATGTCAGGGGCCAAAAATAGTGGGGCAGACGCATTAAATCCGTACTAACCGGTGGCAACTTGTTCTCTGGAAATATGGTCGTATGCCATATAGCATATAATACCCTTCGCCATGTTGGGGCATAATTTGGCATTACCCAACTGGCGGGGGGTTATGCAACGGTTGTCATTATGCATTATGCGCTGTGCTTTGCTTTTTTTCTTGCTTAGTTTCAGCTTCGGGCCACGGCATTAATGTCACCTGCTCATCGCTGTTCTGGCCACGATGACTCCGCTAAGTGCACGCAGGAAAAACCAAAAAAAAAGTACTAAAAAAAAATTAAATAATAAAAAGAGATATAGGAAAATGGAAAATAAAAAACAGGCCCCTAGCTTTACGAGTTACCACTTCTACACGCCGAAAACTTGGGAGCCATAACCATTAACCGTTAACAATTTCATTTCGAACGCGGCTCGTTAAGCGGGTGAAGGAGGAGCAGAAGCCACCACTCGATTCCGCATCCCATTCCATCTAATGTATTCATCTCCGCCTCTAATGAACTGCCGATGGCTTTGCGCAAGTCTTTTTGCCATTTAACCGCAGGAAAAGTCATAGGATTCGGGAAAATAAACGCTGGAGTTGCCAAATTTTTATAATAAAAACTGAAATTTATGCTAATCGCACGGTGACAAATATGAGATTTTTTAATAAACACTTACTTTTAAAGGTCCCTTTTAAAATACCTAAATATATACATATTTTAAAAATATTATATATATATTTTTTTAAATATTATTAATTTATATATTATTATATTATTTATTTTCGCAAACAAAAACATTTTCTGGGTAGCTTAAATACAGAAATATATATAAATTAAATATAATGTGATATTTCATTTGATTTATATTTAGTAATGAAACCAATTGACTTATTTAAGCCAAGACAATCTCCTAAAACTGGCAATGAGCCAAGGAAAAGGCAGCCTAATTGATCCGCAAATCGAAAAAAAGTTAATTTAGTTAATATATTAAGAGCGTGTTTAAGCCAATCCTTCACATCAAGAGCTTTTGTTTTGTGCCCAATAGCCGGGTCGAATTTAATTGGAAAAGGCGTTGCCAGTCGGCCAGTTTAGTTGACCAGTTGACCATTCACCGGCGACTCAGAATTGAGACTCGGACAGGCGAACTTTGTTCTTGGCCAAAACAAAATGAATCAAAGGTTGCCGGAGATTCAGACTCGGTTTTAGAATCCGATTCTGGTGTCAGGTGGCGTTTATTTGTTTGCTCAGCCATTAATGTAATTATAGTATTAATAAATCTCGCCACTGGCGGCCGGCGAAGGTCGCCCCGTAATAATATCATTTTGGCTTTAGCTTTTTTGAAAGGCATTTCGAATCTTTGATCACTTTGCTTAATTGCCGTGCAGAACTTAGTGCTGTTAAATGAGCCGTAAATTGGAAATCACTTCTAAGCTAAATGCATAAAATGCCATAGGCTTATGAAATCCAATTCAAGAGTATTACTAAAAAATATTTTTATAATGGGGGAAAAAGATCTGCGAACAATAAAAAGCCATTCATAGGAAAACATAAAATATCATCGTTAAAATGTGTGAAAATTCGGATAATACAAGATGTGCGATACGGACTTTAAAGCTCATAATTGAAACATAAAATCCCGAAAAGGGGTGGAAATTTCACGATTTACATAATAAGCGAACCAAAAAAAAAAAGAGGGCATTGTTTTATGATAAGTTTCAACGCTTTTCGATATCGCGTTTGCATAACCCCCCCGATAAAAAATATGGAGCGTCGTCTGGTCAATAAACTTATTGACCGACTTAGATATGACACCTGTACATATATCTCTCTGTTTATATAGAGACGCCCCCTCGCCGGTTTGCCTTCGGCGGATTTGGGACTTGGATTTCGGATTTCGGTTTTCGGTTTTTCGGACTTCGGATTTCCAGCTCGACTGCTCCACTTTCATGGCGTTTACTTTCGCTTTTTCCCTCGTTTTCGATTTCAGCTATCATCGCTGGCTTTTGTTATTGCTTATGGCTGATGGCTTTTAGCTTTTAGCCCAAAGCGCGTTGATGGCTGAACTGGCTGCTGTATCTTGGGCTTGGGGATTGGGGCTTGGGGCTTATCTGGCCAGAGCCATCGACTCGACAGCGAACGACCTTGAGACCGTTACCGGTTTCTTGGTTTCTTTGGGTTAGGCCACTCTTGCATGGCCCAGACCAGTCGGTGTTTCTTTGGCTCTCAGCCCAGACAGCTCATTCATCCTCACTCAGGGGTCAGGCCGAAAGTCGCCAGCAGGTTACCAGGTAGTTAACCCCGAAAAATCAAAAAGAAACCAAAGGGCTTCTAGAAAATTCACTGCATTATGCTTTAAAAATATAACATCCTATTACAATTTTTTATAAAATAGAAAATAATAAATTATTACTTGTAAAAGAAAAAGAAAATGTACTAAAATTAATAAAATAAAATAATTTAATTTGTATAAATAGTTTTCAAAATGAAACTTATCGGCTTCTAGAAAATGCACTGCATAATTAAATAAAAAACCTTTTCAAAATTAAAAATGTTATTTAATACAGTTGAAAATTATTAAATATATAAAGAAGTTAAATTAAAAAAAATCTTCATAACACATCAATCAAAGCGTTTGCCTAAAATATTACACTGAATATTTTCCTTAGCTTAATTTAATTAAAAATCAATATGCTTCCGTCATAGGAGAACAATAAAACTCTCACTTTTTCCAACACTTGCACATACTATTGGCCAAGTCTCTAGCTTTTGTTAATTGATTTATGAAGCAATTAACGCATTTCAGTCTTCACTTTTGCATTGTTGACGTCGGCGCCGTTGCCAAATTTCGGTAGCCAAAGCGATTAATGGACGGGCGCTAATCAATAGCAGACCCCCTCCCCCCCTGCCATTGACCACCCCCCGTTGAGCTGTGGGTTTTTAAGAAAAAATATACCTGACCTATGCCAGCATTTCGAGTTGAGGCTTAGCCCAGTTAGCAAGTTCGTTGCCTAAGTCTTTCGTTTTGACACACATTTCGAGCTGGGATTTTCGCTCTCTTCCCCGTTTTTTTCCGCTTTTTCAGTTTTTCGGCCTTTTCAACCGCTTTATACTCATGAACTCACCCGAAATATAATAAAATAAAGATGCGGCTTGCCAAACTTAATTGCAATGCGAACACTCCGAAGCACCCAAATATTTAATTGAGTTCATTAACAATTTCAAAATGCAAATAAACCAGCACAAACAGCACCGCACACAATACACCACACAGCAAAAAAAGAAAACACAAAACAATAAACAAAACTGAGGTTTTTCAAATTAAAAACGCGACAACTAAACGGCCCGCAAAATGTCACTTAGTCTTGTGAAAGATTCACGCATAACTGAAAACTGAAACTGGCCGCTAAAAAATTGAGCCCACTTCAAAAACAGAGAAGGAGAAAGAGAGTAAGAGCAGGCGGAAGAGAGAGCGAGAGAGGCAGAGAAAGCACCACCAGAAGTAAGTAAAAGCACTTTAATAAAACCTGTAATCAGTAGAAAGTGACACATTGCCCGCTCCACTGGCCAAAGTAAGTAGTTGGCCCAACGGAGAAAGGTGCAGGGAGAAGTCGACAAAGAAAGAGAGGGAACTCCCCAGAGAGCCAAGGAAATGGAAAAATATGTATCCAGTAAGTGAAATAGTTACATACTTTTTATTAAATTAAATTAAATCACTTTTATTTTAAAAGATATATTTATTTACTTATTCTTAAGCACAACATTTATTAACAAAATATAAAAATTAATTATAAAAACATATGTAATATGTAATTATATCTTTAAAATGTGTACACTTACGCACAATAATAACAAAATATACAAATTTATTATGTGATATCTTTAAAATGTATGTATATATTAACAGAAATGATTTGTTATGAAACAAAGTTCAATAAATTTAAGAATTCATATCAGATTAAATTATAGATAAGAAACAAGTGTGAATTTATTTTACTTATTGTTATAATTATATATAAATTATTTATAACATTTATGTATTTAGAAAAACGTTTAATTTTTTAATTCCCATTTATTACTTAAAGAATTTCGTATGTTATGTAAATTATCCAAAAGTCCCACTTCAAAGTTCGTTGACCTGGGCCACCCTCCCTGAACTTTAGTTTTATGCGATGAACCCAACCGAGTCGTTTCACCCCCCAACCTTTGCTTAGTTTTAACTTCCGCTTTTCGGGAGCTTTCGCTTTTGTTTTTCTGTTTCTGTTACTGTTTTTCTTATTTTTTCCATCCAATCCTTTGGGGGAGTGGCTCCCAGTGAATTCCAGCGGATCTCTTGCATCAGCCGCTGTCCAAGTAGTTACGCCATTTGATTTAGAGCTCCTCTTTTACGCTTTCTTAGCTGCCCAAGTGACCAACACAAGTCTTTCTTTCTCTTCCTCACTTCTTTATTTATTTCGATTACAAACTAGCAAAAAAAAAACACAAAAACGATTAACGTAACGTAACGTAGCTATTATGTGATGACTAAGCTGGCGGCTAGAATGGCTCGTTGTCATAGGGATCGTTCCAGGATCGATGATGGTCCGCCGGCTTGGCATGGTGGCCCATGCTGCTGCTGGCGAATATGTTCTTGGCCGCACTCGAAGCTCCGCCCGCCGCCCCCAAGCCGGCGTTCAAAATCAATCCCAGGGCATTGCTCACCAGGTGGGAGGCCACCTGCTTCACGAAGCCACCGGAATCAAAATTATTCGCCGCTGCCGCCGCCCATCCACCGCCACCCCCCTCCTTCTTCTTGCGGGGGCGTGGCAGCTCGGCACTTCCGTGTCGCTCCTCGGAGCCCTCCTCCGAATTGGGACGGAACTTGGCCTCCAGGAAGCTGGTGATCAGGTTCTTGGTGAAGGTCAACGGCTGCGGGGGGCCCTCCTCCTCGGGGTCCTGTTTTTAGAAAATATAGCAAAGTAATTGTTTTATTTTTTCTGGTGAATTCACGGCATTTTCTGGGGTTAGTAACACAGTTAAGAGGTTGGGAGCCAAAAGGTCGTATAAAAGGTAGAAGGTATAAATACTGCGCTGAGTGCGGCCAACACAGTGCCAAGAAAGTTGCCCAAGAACTGCCCATTGTTGATCTGCAAAATAATGAGAAAGGAAGTAATTTAACCATTTAAGTAATATAAAATTATAATAAAGATCTTGAAACTAAATTAAAGTATTAAACGAATTATCCGCCCAGAAAATATCAGGTTTTTGGCTGAAACTATGGAAATAATTAACTAAATATGGATTGTTTATTTCTTATTTTGTTATCTGTTCAAAACAGTATGTATTTTTGGTGTACGACCATTTTTGGCAAAGTTACAGCAAAAAAACAAAAAGAAAAAATTCAAATTTTTCCCAAAAACGCAGATTCCAAATTTTCACAAAAATAACTTCATTTTTTTACCGTAACAATGGAAATATTGATCCAAATATGGATTGTCATACCTTTCTGAACTCGTTATTAAATTTGCTATCGATTGGCATTTAAACCTGGACATTTAATTTTTTTGCCATTTTTCGTAAAAAATCATGAGGTACCCCCTTATAAAGAAAATTGAAAAATGGCCAAAATTTTATTTTTCCAAGATCACCTGGAAAGTGTTATGGATTTATTTATTGTTTTGTTATCTGTTCAAAACAGTATGTATTTTTGGTGTAGGACCATTTTTGGCCAAGTTACAGCAAAAAATCATAATAAAAAAATTCAAATTTTTACCAAAAACCCAGATCCAAATTTTTCACAAAAAATACTTCGTTTTTTTGCCGTAACAATACAGCAAAAAAACCAAAAGAAAGAAATTCAAATTTTTGCCAAAAAAAAATCAGATCCAAATTTTTCACAAAAAAATAAATGGTTTTTTGACCGCAACAATGGAAATAATGATCCAAATATGGATTGTCATACCTTTCTGAACTCGTTATCGATTTGGCATTTAAATCCAAAAAATAACATGTTGACCATTTTTCGCAAAAAAGCATGACCCCTTATCAAAAATGTAAATGTTACATCTAAAACTCACCGCTCCACCGCCACCAGAGAGTCCATCCAAGGCGGTGCCGACATATTGGCCCAGGACGAGACCAAAGTTCTTGTTGCCACCCAAGAGACCAGAAATCAGGGAGGTTCCCGTTTGGATCAGACCCTGAACGTCCAGGCCACCGGGCTTCATGATTAAATAATAACAATAATTTAATATAATATTATTCAAATTAATTTAAATATTTTACATGTATACTTACGCCAAATAAGGTGGAAACCAGGCCGGTGAGGGCTCCAATTAGAGCTCCCACATCGGAACCGCCTTCACCCTGGAATTAATCCATTATATTGTTATTAATATAAATACAAATATTATTTATTAATATTTTACTCACACCACTGAGGCTGCCAATGATTCCCACCAGGCCACCACCGCCTCCCCCTCCTCCTCCGCCGCCAGCTTCGTCCCCCTCCCCATCGCCAAGGTCATCGGGGTCATCATCCATTGTGGCCAATTCCTGGGATCCTGCGCCCTCCTCCACTGCCTCCACCTGCTGCTTCGCCGGCTTGGCTCTCATTTTGGGTTTACCTTTGGCCTTGGCTGTAACATTTGGCGACTTCAAGAGGCCGTCAGACAATAGGGTTAGGTGAACCAAGTCAATGTTGGGTTAGGTTATAGGTCATTGGGTCATCATCAAACGGGTCATCGGGTTAGTCACAAGGGCTTTTCAAAAATGGGCTCTCCCCCGCTCACCTTTGCGTTCACTTCCAGGTCATCGAGCTCCGAGGGATTGGGCTCTATTTTAATCCGCCGCGGTGGCGGCTCATCCAACATGTTTTCCCGAAAGTCATCCTGGAAGCGCAAGTCATGAGCCTGGCGTTACAAAAACAAATCAAGGTTTTCATACTTAAAACATGCAGTTGAACAACTTTTGAACCCAAAAGGTTTTTGCTATTTAAGTTAAATTTAAAGTTTAATCTATAGAATAAAATTAAACTATAAAAAATATATAACATTATTCAATAAACTTTTGGAATAAAATACAGTTTAAGCTAGAATTAAAAGAATTATTTATGATTAATTTCTTTATGCATAATAATAATGAGTATGAACAATATTAATGAATAGGCAAAAAATAGGATATTTAAAGTATTTATTTTCCAAAACTAAAATCCCAAAAACAAAATATTTGTTAAATTTTTTAGTAATATATTATTTAGAACTATATTAATTTGATAATATTTTTAGAAATCGATTACTTCTTTTACTTTAAATTAATATTTAATGTATATTATTTAAAAATATATTAATTTTATTATATTTTTAGAAATATATTTTGCACCCACCTCTGACAATATGGACTTGATAATCCTCATTTCCTGGGGCATCTGTCGCTGCTCCTGCTCCGCCTGATCCTCCCGCAGATCCTCCTCCAGCTTCCTCTGTTCCTTCTTGATTTGCCTCTTGTGGATCACCTTCTGCTTGGCCCTGGCCAACAGCCCATCCTCCCCAGCCTGCTCCAACAAGTGCTGCAGTGCCTTCTCAATCTTGGCCTCCAGTTCGTTCTTCATTTGCGGCACCTGCCTGCTGATGCTCCTCCTCAGCTTGCCCAGTCGCTCGCCCAATTTGGGCTGATCGGTGAGATCGGCCGAGAGCTCCTGGTTGAACAGCTCCTCCTCCCTCTGCTGCTGGGCCATCGCCCTCAGCTCCTCGCGGAACTCGTGATCGTCCTTGGCCTGCGACACCACATCCATCACCCGATTGAGGATCTCCAGCGACCGCTGATCCCGCGACAACTGCTGTTCGATGGCATCGATCTTGGCCATCACCCGCCCGCCCTCGGTGAGATTCATCTGGAGCAGCAGCTCCCGGATGGCCGCCACCAGATGCTCCTCCATCTGCTCCTCCGCCCGCCGGGCGCCGTTCAGCAGGCCAATGCCCGTCACCGCCCGCAGCTCGTCCTTGGGAAGGATCCTCTCCAGCCGCCGATAGGCGGTGATGGCCTGCAGATAGTGCGATTGCAACGCCATGGGATCTCCACTTGGCCTGCTCTCCACCTCCACCGATCCCGAAATCAGGATTATTGCGATTCCGAATCCGAATCCGCGGAGCAATCGCAGCACTTGCAGGTTCTCCATTGGCGGCCGATCGAAAGAAAACTGCGCCCAGGAAGGTTCATCCACCACCTCATATAACATCTGGCGATCCGGCAATCCGGCGATCCATTGATCGTTCACGGTTAGTTGGGCTGTCTGGGATCCTCCCACATGGATCCGCCTCCTTTTTTCCCATTTTAGCTTTTTAACGATTGTGCAATGGGTCAATCGGCTGTGGAGAGCTGATCAGTGTGGCATATCTTGGTCGCCCGGTCGGATTGTCGTACGCAAATTAAACACACATCTTAACTAGGGGGCGGTGGGAGCCTCCTCTATAAACTAGTTTACCTTTCCAGTTGCAACTAGTTGTCATTACTCAATTATATGGCATTTAAAGATAAATATATTAAAATCTCTATATACAATTTTGAAATTTCTAGATATTAGGATTATTAGGATTAAGATTTAATATATAAGAAAACTACTACTATATTTATTTTAAAAATTGTTCGATACCTAATATTATAGAATTTTTTTCTATTTACACTTTACATTTTATTTTGAACGGGTATATCATTTTCTCAGAAAAAAAGTAAATATTATTGTTTTTCATTTATATTATAGACTCTTTTAAATATCAATGAACATTTTCTGTTTTAATGAGTAAATCATTATCATGGTTAACTTAAATTCTTAAGAATAAATATGTGTAATAATACAACTTTAATAACACAAAATGATATTAATAAAATGAGAGTAAAATACTTAGTCCAAATGATTATGAGGCTTAATTGCGGTAAGTACTTCCCCGTGAAACCACTTTAAAGGCCGACCAGAACATTGGGGTCTTCAAAGGTCGCAATTACCGAACTCCTCACCTTTTTTTATCCTCAGAACTAGAAGACCCATTAGGCATTTCTTTAGATGAGGGGATCATAGTCATTAGCTAATTCCTAATGCCTATTTCCCCTTTTTTTTGAGGGGATTGAAATAAAGGCCTTATGTAAATGAAACAACTAAAAGGTGGAAAAGCGAAATGCAGGTGTCGCAGTTATGCGTGACTGTTAATTAGCAATGTCCATTAGATAAATGGGAGAGATTGGGTCGCGATCATCTAAGGGGCACTGACTGGGCGGAGATTACGTGAAGGGGCTGCCCCGTAGCCCCCGTAATGGCGAACATGGGTTAAAGCCAGGTAGTCGCAGTCCAAGTCCAAGCCGCAAAACGTCGGCGGCGGTGGCTCGTCACGCTCGTTTAACCTTTCAAGTGCGCAGAGATCTCGGTTGGGGGAATATATGTTTATCAACGGGGGGTTACGTACACACACACACGCAGTTATATAGCCAGCCACTCAGGTCGGATCGCATCGGATCGGCATGACATAAGCGTTTAAACGCAATTCCAACTGTTGAAGCGTGCCTCACTTGGGGTTAACTTAGGCAAACAAACGAAAATCACACGTCTACAGGGAAAGAAACTAAAAGATCAACAACTCTTAATACAAAAATAAATTTTGGACTTTACAATTATAAAATAAACCTATATGTTCAGGTTTAAAAGCCAATCGATAGGAAATTTAGTAAAGAGTTCAGAAAGGTATGACAATCCATATTTGGATTAATATTTCCTTTCTTACGGTAAAAAAACGAATTATTTTTTTGTGCAAAAACGAAATCTGGGTTTTTGGTAAAAATTTGAATTTTTATGTTTTGTTTTTTTGCTATAACTTGGCCAAAAATGAATGCTGTTTTGAACAGATAACTTAAAAATAAAAAAATCCATAACACTTTCCGGGTGATCCTGCAAAAATAAAATGTTCGCCAATTTTCAATTTTTTTGTAAGGGGGTACCTCATGATTTTTTACGAAAAATGGCAAAAAAATAAAATGTCCAGGCTTAAATGCCAATCGATTGGAAATTTAATAACGAGTTCAGAAAGGTATGACATTCCATATTTGGATCAATATTTCCATTGTTACGATAAAAAACGAATTATTTTTTTGTGAAAAATTGGAATCTGATTTTTTAACCAAAATTTTAATTTTTTCTTACAAAAAAAAATTACTACATTTATTTCTCACAGTGCACGAACGTTTAAGTACACGCATCTTAGTGACTCCCGTATAAAAATACATAAAACCGCAGGCGTAATTATAAGGCACAATAAAACGAGCCCAAAGCCAAGACAATAATGATATAATTGTTTCACTTTGTGCAAATGTTGTGCCCTTTAATGCCTCGATTGCCCTCAGATTTTTGGCTTTTAATTCGAGCATCTAATGGCAGCTTTACGATCTGATATCTTCAGTCTCTCGTACGCATGGCATTCATGGGGCGATGAGTCAGGTTCATTAAAGTGTTGAACCTTAGATGCTCAAGGGTGATGATTTTATGGGGGAATTTAGAACATGACATTCAGAAAAAAAGCTTTACAAATTTTAACAATATCCTAGATAAAGTTCGTATATAACTTTGAATTAAATTTGACATTTGACTAGAAGCACAAATTAAAAAATGTATCACCTTGAAATGAGCTACAAATAGCTCTTATCAAAAGGTTAAAAATATTATTTCATTTAATGTATTCAAAATCAGCTTTTAAAATGTGGAAAATGAAATAAAATAATCTAAAATAAATCTTTATAAAATAAATAAAATAGCTCTTATCAAGATGTTAAATATATTCTTGAATGTGTACAAATGCTTTTTGTTCATTTATGCCATGGCATTGGCCATTCGCTTGGAAAGACATATATATTTAAAAATCATCAAGTCACTCAAGATCCCGTTTAAAAACATGCCAAAACCGTATTATAAACACTTCAAAAACAAACATAAGCCGAACATGTTAAAAGTGTTTAAATTCCGATCAATCTTGCGCTTAGCCTTCAAAAAGGAAATCAATTTCGAATGCTTGAATATATTTGTAAGCCAAGTTAACCCTAAAAAAATCGAATAATCTTGTAATTATCATTGTTATCTTTAGTTTAGTTGCATTTAATTCCAGCGGCGGGAAACCCTTTTAACTTGACAGCGAATTTAGCGACTTCCGGAAGCGGAAATGGCGGCCATTGCTAATGAGCCATCGGCACTTGACATTGTGGTTGGAGAATTACGGAGAACTGCGATCTCTGGCAATTAGGGTTTATTGACAATTGTCAGAAGCGAAAAAAGCCACTCAAACATCCGAAACTCGGAGATATATTCGAAGCTCGAAACTCGATTCGTGTTTGTGTGTATTATTAACACATATCTTTGTGCAATAAATAATAACCTTGCCAAATCGTTTGACTTCGTTTCGCTGCTTGGCAACATAACACACAAATACATATAGCAAATCCAAAAAACAAAGAAAAAAAAGAGACTTTGTTGCAGTTTGCAGTCAACAATTTGATTTTATAAACTTTGCACTTTTACTGCCTCTATTTAATCTTCGAATTGGAGCAGCGGCCAGCAAAATGATAAATATCTGCGGCGCACAGAAATTAACATAATAAATAGCAACCATAAATATTAAAAGCAAACTAGTTGCTGCAATTTATTATCTATTTTTTTTAGCGCTTGTTATACAATTGGTTTAGCCTCTAAGCTGGGGAATAGATTGGTCCAAACAATGGGCTATCCACTCGACGACGCACTCTTGGCCATCAGAAGTCCTTCGCGATTCGAGTTAATTTCTGCTAATTGGCGAACCAAAGAAAAAGCCAAAGATACACAGAGATATCACAGATAATCTGTCATCTTCAAAGCCAGAAAACCAGTTCGACCGATCGTTATTCTTATATGCTAATCCGGGGATTAAATAAAGGCGAGCGAGGCGTTTAAAATGAGCCAGCATAGAAATTAAAATTAAAAATTAAAAAAAATGCAATAACTGCAAATAGTTAGTTAAAATTCAAACAAAAAATGGTCTTAAGTTTATTCATTAATTCCTAAATAAAATGCTATGTACAAGTGTGAAACTTACAATTCAAGTCATTTAATCATTGATTTAATTCGAATGATAATTTTTAAAAAACTCTAGAATTAATTTAGGAGCAATATTGGTTTTTATAATTTTTTTGAAAATATCAATTGAATGCACAGGAAGCACTTAGCTAAATTATTACAGCTAAATATAATCCGCAATTTTAATCAACCACTTGTTGTTGAAAATCCCATTGAAAATATATTGTGTAATTGGCTGTTGGCCTGACTTCCCGCTCTCAGGATTTTATTTTTCGATTCCAGACTAATGACCCAATTCGCTTGGCTCTCTCGCTTTTACAATCGCCAACTCATGGATTTAATTATTTACAGCTCTGTGCGGCGGTTTCTCATTTATTTTTATTATTTTTCGGCCAATCACTTCGATCAAAGCCAGACAGTCTAAATTTAGGCTGCCAGAAGGCCTGATTGATATCCGCCAAGTCATGGCGTTAAAGAGTGGTAAGTAATATTCTTTGGGGTCTTTGGGTGACACTGGAAAAAATTAAAGATAGAGAAAAAAACCTGATTGATATCACGTAGTGTTTTTGGTTTTCTGTTTTGATTTTTTCTTTTTCCTTTTTTGTTTTGGGGAAAAAGTCACCTAGGCAGCGCTGATAAATCACGGCACCACCTTTCCTTTGCCTTCTTTTTTTAACACCACCACCACTGCCACGCCCCCTGCGCCACCACCGCCCCTCTGAGCAACCGAAACTTTTTAATTTTTTCGGTTTTTTTCTCGCTGGGCCACCACGTTCGGTTTGCCAATCAACTGAAAATGACGGCCAAAACCAAAAGCCGCCGCAGCCGCAGAGTTGTTAACATGTTAACTTGGCTTAAATGCATTATGATTTTTTCTGTTTTTTTTTCGCCTTTCATGCCAAATATATATGTATGTATATGTATTTCCCTGCCGCAATTCGCAAAGTGTTTGAGTGGATAATGCGGAATTTTATGAGCTCATTGGCTGCCGAAAGTCCAACATCAGCATCTGCCTCTATATATGTAAATATATATATATTTTATATATACGTTTATAGGAGTGTGGTTAAATATATCCATTTGACCGTGAGTGTAAAATCCATATTGGATATCCGTAGTGGATTTTGGGGCGTTTGAAACCAAATATCCAGAGATTATGTTTATTGGATACGGTCCTTGGTTATTTGACTTTAATATTATAATTAAACGCGATTTAACTACTTTAAAAAAATACTTTTAAAAACTTTTTAAATTTTTAGTAATTTAACTTATGGTTGAAAAATTATTTAATTATTTTTGGAAGCCCAATATTAGTAAGAATTGTTTGCAGATAATTGAAATATTTATTTGCAATTTACCAGCAAAATGTTATTAATTCTTCTTAGAGCATTTAAAATGCGCAATATATTCGTAAATCATAAATCCCAAACGGACAGCTTCCTTTTCAGCCGAGAAATCAAGTTGTCCGCTTGCATTTGGGCCACTTTGTGTCTCTCTGATTATTCGAACACTCGGACAAGCACTCGTACTTTATATTAGTAATTGTTTGCAATTAGTCACCGACGGAGGCTGAGAGACAGAAACCGAGCGGCTTTGTCAATCGCTAATTTATGCAAGGCTTAAGGCTTTTTTTGTGCTTTATTTTAAGTTGGGAACTGCGAACGTGACGATTGATATGCCTTCAATCCGGTTCAAAGTCCGCTCGCCATAGATCATCATCCCGTTCAGGGTCTCTTTTGGCCGGATTACTCATAAAATCGAAGAATTAAGTTCCTGTAATGGGCCAAAAACGCCGGCAATTACATCAAATCCAAAGAAGAAGCAGAGGGTAAAGGCGAAAAAACCTTGTTATTGTCTATGGGCTGTCATTAAAACTGAAACAGCAACAGGCAAACGGGCAACAGACAACAGACAACAAACATCGAACAATGGCAGTGACTCCGGCGATGTCTTTACATTTAATTGCACCATTGGGCACACGGCAAAGTGAACTGTCAGTAATCCCCATCCCCACAATAGACCCCTCGAAATCCCCGAAACTCGCAACTCGAAGCTCCATCTGCAACTCGCTCGATTTAAAGCGATGTCAACGTCGCCAGAATTAATTGATGCGCCATGAATTGCCGCTCAATGGCAGGGACGATGGGCTCCACTGTACTTTATACCTTATATATGGTCGTATTTCAGGGCCCCCCAAAAAGAGGGCGAATTAATCGCACTGGGCGGGGTCTTAAAATTTGATATGACAGCTCGAAGTTTCGGCTGGGAAATAAAAGTTCAAGGAATCGCTCAAGTAAATTGTATTTCATTTGATTTGTTTCATGTCCGGGCTTACTAAAATACACCTAAGTTTATTTATGTTATCGGAATTAAAGAACCTTTGGTAAATTTGTATACTTGTATATTAAATAATCATTTATTTATATATTTATATTTAATATTTTGTTAAATAAAAAAATGTTTGGCACTGAAAATAATTCGAGTACAAATTCGAATGCTTATTATTTTAATAAATATTTAAAAATTAATTTCTTAAATTTCTTAATTTTTTTCCGCTTTTGATTAAATATATTAAAAATATAATAAAATATATTTTATTAACAAATAAACATATATGTTTGGTTTTATGGTTTTCTGTAGATCGTATGCGAACCGGTGGGTGTGGCACCGCCCAAAAGACAACAATAACAACAAAAGAACGAGACAATAGCGTCTGAGGAGCGGCCATTAAAGCTAATTTCGATGTCATTTTCGATTTGGCAGCTTTAGCTTTTGGCTTTTGCAAAAGCGAACGACCCAAGCAACTGAGACTAATTTCATAATTTTGTATGTGTTTTTTTTTGGTTTTTTGTATTTTTGGTTTTTGTTTATGCAAAACGCTGTCGCTGTATGTGTGTCAAAATCTAATTCACCTTAAACTGATTTCGAACGCATGCAACTTTTAGTGAGTTTAGTGAGTCTCACTAGTCGACCGACTGACTGATTTTGGCCCGCTTTTCAGCCTTAGCGATTTTAGCTTGCTGTTGCTTTTGCTTTTGCAATCGCCGAGATACAGTATCTCAGCTCCAGTTTAAGTTTTTGTTTTCGGTCGGTACCAAGCGGCGTATGCGTAATTTGTAGCCTGCCATGCATGTCTGCCTTCTGCCTGCACTTCCACACTTCTGCGCCAGTTGGTCGTTAACCCAGGGCACCGCCAACGAAAAAAAGCGAAAATAAAACAAAAATAAAACCGCCAACCGGTTACCGGTTATCCTTCAGAGCGGCGACAGTCCGCCGCCGAAGGTAAAGCGGTTGCCCAGTCGAAAAAAAATAAAAACAACCACATATATAAAAACCAAATAAAAGAGCGATGCTCGAACCAATAATCAAATCGAAGCGAATCGAATCCAATGGAATCGCCTCGCATTGAGCACTAGCTTCCGGTTCACACTGCCAAGAGAAGCACAGTGGTCTCTTTACAAAAAGTAATAATCCAACTAGTTTGGGATCTACATTAAAAAAAACTGGTAGAGGAAGCGATATGGTATAAAAAAATAATGGAAAAAATATCAATAGATTATGGGAAGAAAATATAGAGCAAGAAAACAATTAATTTTAAGAGTAAATTAAAAAGAAACAGTAAATTAACTGAAAATATGTAAAATATATGATAATCAATTTTTAGAAAATGTTTAACGTTTTTAAAAAAGATTTTTTATAAAATACTATTATTAAAAACTATAAAAATAATATTTAAACTTACAAAATAAAAGCAATTTATTATCTAAAATAAAATGTATTTTTATTACTAAAAAAAATATTTAAAAAAATATGAAACGATTTTCCTCATATCTTTAATTAACAAAAAGCCTCTTAGCCAGTCCACACTGTAGCCTAGGAGTTGGAATTCCATTCACTCACGCACTGAAAACTATCAAAAATGTCGTCCACGATGAGCAAGTGCTGCTGTTTCTGCTTCTTGAGAAGGTCGAATTGGGCTACTTCTTCATCGCCATCTCCATCATCATTATCATTATCATAATCACCACAACACTCATCATGATCCATCATTCAAGAACAACTCATAACTGTCGCTAACCACAGATCGTCGACATTGTCTTGCGGTTGGTCAGTATTCGATTTTCCGTTTATTTTGAATTTTTTCGTTTTTTTTCCCTATTGAGCTTTTGTGCTCGGCCGAAGGTTTCTGCTTCTGATTATCATCGAGTGGCTTTTGGCCAAAGTGCATGGCCAGCATGACAGGGCGGAAATTTTGTGTGGCCAACCTTTTGGGCCCCAGTTAGACCCTCGAAAGTCCATAGAATTTTTGGGCGGACCTCGAAGTTCAGTGAACTTGCTTGTTCTATTAAAGTAATTGATTATAAATCCGGTGGCTAACAATTAATCATTATGATGAGTACTTTAAGATTAAAAAAAAAGCAACGATCCCTTTAAAAGGTTTCAATTCTGGTCACCTACATTATTAAAAGATTCCTTACAAAGAACGGAACGATTTTTTAATTTTTTTGTTACATTTTTCACATAGATTATTTTTGGGCTACCCTAATTTGTATAATCTAATAATTTATTAAATATACAGCTTATATATAATTTAGTTTTAAGAACTTGTCGCTTTTAGGCAACTGAAACTAGCAGCCCAACATATATTCTAACTATTTAGATTTTGAAGTCGTGACTTCCATTAACCCCACGACTTGCTGGTAATTTTCATAAATTTCCATTATGAGCCCAAGACATCTGTTGCTTTATTTGTTTTGCTGCCTTTTCTGCTAACTTTCGGAATGCGGAATGGTAATGGGAATGCAATCAAATGGAATCAAATTGAATTGTCTTGGCCAAATGGCAATCGAAAAATTGGTATCGCAGGGAAAAACTACTAACAACGAAAAAAAAATGCATCTTTGAGATGCGCAGCTGCAGGAGGTTGTGTAAGCCACTAAAATTAAAAATAGTGGAAATGTAAAAATAAAACTGGCTTTAATCCTGGCCACGGCCCACTGACAAACTGAGCCAGCTGAGATGGAGTTGGAGATTGACAAACTGACAAACTGAAGCTGGCAGTCACGAGGCGGAAACTTTTCGCGTAATCGTGTTGTCGAAAAACTGGGAAAAGTACGAAAAAGAAAAAAAATATACAGGAGAGTAGCGGCTCGTAAAAATATATGAAAAAAAAAATAATACGAAAAAGAAACTCCACTCAAAAAGCCTGGTCAAGCTCGCGAGCGACTCAAGCTTGACTTTGGCGCGCTCACTTTCGTTTTCGTTTCGAGCGGAATTCGAGCGGCTCAAGCGGTACGGGGGCGGTACGACGGGCGGACGGCGAGCGGCGCCGCTGCCGACACCGCTGCCGACGCCGCCTTTGGCAGCGCTTTGTCTCGAGCTTTAGTCGCTTGTGTGTGATAAAATCACGTTAGTAATCAATTGCAGGCCCAACAGCCCAGACCACAAAGAGAAGCAGTCGCAGTCGCACCACCAATCCACAGATCCACCGATTCGCTGCTTCTTTCCGAACCCAACACGCAGAGATTTACTTTTTTTTTATCTCGGCTGTTTTTCTTTTTTGGCCCCAACGCGTATGTATTTTGAAACAACAAATTGTGAAGTGCTAAAAAATTAAAAAAAAAAAAACAATGATATCATAATCGCGAGGATACCCAAAAACCAAAGAACAAACGGAATGAAAAGCTGAAAAACCAAAAGGAAAACATTTCGAACCTCATACATTTTTTTCTATATTTTTTTTACTGTGCCAAACAATTTGCAAAGAACTTCTGGTTTTGTGAATCAAAAAACATGGAAAACTTAAGAAAACACCCAAAGAAAATTCCAGAGAAAAATCCAAAAGAAAAAAACCCGACGCGTGTGCTGGACTATTTTCGGTTTTGTCTCATTTCTCATTTGCTGCATTCATTTACCTTGTTTTCGATTGCCCAATTAATGCGAGTTGGTTAACACAAAAACGTTTTTGATTGCCAATTTCCAAGTTGCGTTTGCGAGAGGTTTCGTGTGCAGTGCTGAAATCGATTCGAAAAACAAAGTGGCCAAAAAGGGGAGGGGGTTCCAAATTGGCGCTATAACTTCAGGGAGAATCTAAGCGAGCCGGTTGAATATCATAAACGTGTTCTGACATTTTCTAGAATTTTTTAAATATTTTAAAATATTTTTAGTAAGAATTTAAATATTTTTTGAAGATTAATGCATGGTTAAAATCCTATTTAGCTATTTTGCAGATTTTAAATATTGTATTTAGAACCATTATCTTTAAATTCCTCATGGTACCTTGAAAATATCACGCATACGCACTGTTGCCTTAGCTTAATTGCAAGCTTGGCCACAGGAAGTGCACTACTAGACTTGTTTTTAAAACAAAAAAACACCCAGTCATTTGGCTTAAATTATATTTCGAAATCCCCCAAGAAATCCCACTCAAGCCTTGATTATCGCCGTTGTTTTTTCGGGGCTTTGCCTTTTAATTACGACATGTCCATGTCGAAGCATGCACTCAATGCCAGATGCGGATTTTTTTTATGAGTTTTATGATATTTGTGCAATTGCCAGTGAGTCGTAATCATAAAACCCCAAGTTCCGTATGCAAAAAAAAAAACAGAAAAACTCAAAAACCCGAATGGGATATGTCAAGTCACGTTGCTTTGATCACTGATCACTTTTCGGACAATTGTTAGAAGCAAATGGATCAAGTCAGAAGAGAGAGAGAGGGGAGACCCCGAGAGAAAGAGATAAAGAGAGGGCTTGAAAGTAAAAGCAAAGCCCGAAAAGATGACATAACATCTGAATATCTGGGGAGCTCTGTTGTTGCCGGTTTTCTCGCTCTTTCTCTTTCGCTTTTCGCTTTTCTGTTTCTGTTGTGCTCGTTGGATTTTCGTTTTCGATTTTGGCTCTTGGCGCTTACGCCCTACTTCGGGCCAAGTTAAGACGAAAACGAAGACGCAGACGAAGAGCTGACCATCAGCATTGCATGTTTGCCTCGAGGTGGCAATTCCAATTTTCAGTTCCCCCTTTCTCTACCACTTTGTATTGCCAAATTGTTTGACTGATTGCTTGATTGACAGCCAGAGTAACAGCAACAAAAACAGCAACAGCAAAACAAAACAGCAAAGGCGGCCAAAACAAAACGGCCCAAAATACGCTTTCAAGTTCATTTCTTGCATGCCTCAGCTGAAGATTGAAGATGACTTGGCTGTTGGAGTTTCCCCGGTTTAATTAAATTATTGGGTTAAACGACATAAAAATGTAGAATTTTTTAGTTTATTAAATGAATAGAAAAATGGTTATCTAATTATTTATTTTTTATAAAAATATTTAAAAATTTATTTCTTTTGTGTACAAACCACATGAAGTTGTAGAATTTTTTAGTTTATCATATGGATAGTAAAAGACATTTAAAATATGTTTTTACGCTTTATTCATTTTCAAAAAACAAAAATATCAAAAGTTTTATTTATTTTGTGTATTTATTTATAATCATTTATTTTAAAAATGTTTACATAAATCACAAAAAAATATTTTAAACAGCTGCTTATCGAAACTAAAATTCCACACATCCCTTAAAAAAACAATTTTCGATAGGAGAATATTTAGTAAATTTATTTAGTATAATAATAAAGTTAAGGCTTAAAAGCTTCTAAAGCCAGAGAAGTTCCCCATCTAGTTATGACTAATTCCGCAATCTTAGGCATGTCGGCTATTTAACTTTTCACCAACCGATCTCCAATTGCCAAAGCCTCAACCTTTGAGCCCGCAATGTCATCTCGCATTCGTGTCTCAAAGTCTAATAAGGCAATCAGCGATTCTAATTTGCGGTTTCCCTTACTAAGTACTTAGTTTCTCTTATTAAATTCGGGATGACTCACAATTTTGCATAGCTATAGTTGTTGACCAAAGAAATTATCCCTCTCTCTTTCCTTCTTCAATTAGAGCTTCGTCTTTAGTTTGTTTTTGTTTTTCTTGGTTTTTTTTTTTTTTTTAATGCATTTTCTCACATTTTTGTGTGTAATTACGGATCATGCCTTGCTTTTCGCACCTGTCTGCCCCTCTCTCTTCTTCTCTGTTTTTTTCTCTGGGCCTTATTCAATTTCTTTTTAACAAAAGCCCAGCTTTGAAAAGCTTTGCCCATAGAAATTGCACAAAAAATAAAACAGGCAGCACAGGCACAAACACAAACGCACACACACCAAAAATAAAAAGTGTAAAAAAATTAAAATTACATAATTTAGTTGTTGTGATTTATAAATTGCCCGCCAGTTGCAGCATACCGCTGCGCATTACTCATACGCCGAGTTGCCCAAGAAATGTCCAATATTTAAACTTGGCCATTGGCCATCGCCTATCGCCTATTGACAGTTATCGTTAGCATCCGCATCTCGTCTCGAAGACCTTGGGGGCCAGAGAATAGCCAGCAAACCAAACAAAAACCACAGACTCGAAATCAAATATGATTATTCGATTTTTTTGGCTTTAATTCCGTTTGATATTTATTTTTTTACCACCCGATAACAGATGCTGACCTTCTGTCTGACCTTTATCTTTTGTCTTTATCGCTAACCAGCTTGCCCTCTCGTTCCAGCCCACTTCCCGCTCACACACACACGCACACGCGACAGAGACAGCATGAGGCAGCCAAGTAGACAGCACATCCTGGCGATCCTCGTCCTCGGCAGCGCCGCCTGCCTCATTAGCGCCGTTCCGCTCCCCCAGCCCGCCGGCAACTCGGAACTGGACGTCCTGCAGATCCCGCTGGCCAATGGCAAGGTGAGTTGAAAACCCTAGTACACTGGGAGAAATTCCATTAAATGACGATCAATTGAATCTAAATTAAAGTAGATTTTATATTAGGAATTATCGCTTGGGTTTCTAATATAATACATAAATATTTGCCTTGATTACATTGGATGCAATTAGGTTTTCTTAGGAGAGAGATCAAAATATTCTTTAGATCATAAATCGATGCCTATAAGTAGATTTTGTGGAGTACGCATTATAATTTCGGATTAAATTATAATACATTAATATTGGATACTATTAGGATTTTCATATATCTCTCTAGTTTTTTTTTAATCAATAAGTGAATAATAATAATCATTAATAATCAAGTGAAGCTTAATTCATATCAATAGATTCCATACCTTAGGAATTTTTATTTTTGTCATACAATTAGGTTTCATTGAGTGATCAAATTCTAATATTTTTAAAAATATTTAATTTCATTAATAGGTTTAGAACTAGCAATATAATGTCAGATAGTTATCTTTTTATTATATTTTTTTATTAATATTTTTTAATTAGTTCCCCATAAAATTATAAAATTATTTCTTATTATCCTAAAGTAACATTATAAACAATCTATTAGTCTCAAACTCGTTTCCTAGTGCTAAAATTCTTAGGATAGCCATATCAAATTATATAAAGAAACTTACAGTACAGAGCAAATATTTACTTGGCTGACTGTATCAAGATATTGATAAAATAGCCGAAAGTCAAACAGGCGAGTGTGTAAATCAAATATTATTCCAAGCCCTCGACGACTTTTTCTCCCATTCAGCAGGGGGGGTGGTTCCAAAAGGTTGTCTTTACTACATTGTGATTATTGTTTTTAAAACGTGAAAATCTGCGTTGTAAAAGATCTATTAAGCGCGTAACTTGCACTATGCTATGCTGTGTAATAAAACAATTTCGGGCCATTAACTTTGGCTTAATTGGCTGTAAGTTTAAGTGGCCCAAGTTAATGGTGGTGGAACTCTTGGAGCGACTCTCGTTAAGAGTAGCGCGTGCTGCCGCCTCAGTTGCCCTTTCGACCATATTTGCTTGACAAATTTGCACTTGGCTTGGCTTTATTTTTCGGAAGGGGTAGGAAGCGGCCAAACATGTTGCCCAGACGGCCAGCCAAAAACTTCCTTTTACTTTTCGGCTTTTGGATTTTCTCATATTATTTTTTTAGCCAATTCGGGTCTCGGGGTCTCGGGGTCTCTGGGCCCGTCCAACCTGCGTGACTGGATCAGAGCTGCGATCTCTTGGAGAGCAGACCAACAGACCAGTTCCAAGGAAGTTGGCACACTTGGTACCTGTTTCCTTAGCTTTTTTTTTGGGCCTCAGCTGGGTGTTGGCCCGGCCAAGAAAAAACCGGACTCTTTGCCGAGTTGAGCAAGCCAGCAACTGCAGCAGCTCTGTTATTTTATTACTTAATTGCCTAGCGAGACAGTTCCCCACAATTCCCATTCCCATTCGCATTCGATCATCGGCGGGGATCATTGTATCACTGTGCCGGCAATTAGCACCCCTTTCGCACGCCCCTGTGCCCCCCAAAAACCCCCCGAGGCTAATTTGTTGGCCAAAAGAGCTAGGTGGCCAGTTTTTGGCTTATAGTTTTTAGCATTGTTTTATGTCACTTTATGGCTTTCACTTTGTGCAACAAATTTGCACAAATCTCCGAAATCGAGAAAAAAATATCAACGTCGTTATATTTGTCAATCAAAACTGGCATGCAATTATTTTTTTTTAATATTCGTGTGAAATCCGTAAATACAGCACATGAGTTTTTTCCTGGTAAGAAGTTAATTTTGTATTTAAAAATAGCATTTGTCATCATTTTGAGAAGCCAGTAATTACACTTTAAAACGGCTTAAATGTTTTCTGAAACCAATAATTGAAGTTTTCTCATTTAAAAGAAATTGTAAAGAGTTTAGATATTTATGGAAATTATTTGTAGACTCTACTTGCTTCAAAATATTATTTGTCATTACTTTGAAAAGCCAATTACCGTTTTTACACATTAACACATTTTAAACAATTTTAAATGTTTCCAGAAACTAATACCTAAAGTAGTAATAATACATTTAAAAGAATTTATACAATGTTTAAATTTTTCCGGGTATCTCAATACATTTACAATACTTTTCATAATCTCTAGAAAGCGTTAATCATATTAATTTAAATTAAAATTTTTTAGAAATGCCAAATTAAATAAAATTACATTTTTAAAAGTTGTAGATAAAAATGGGTCTCACATTTATGCAATGTTCTCAAAGTACGCTTTATAATTAAATAGTTAATGTTGAAAACCTCTTATTACCCACTTAAAATCTTTCTCAAATCGCTCAATTTAAAGCCCTTTAAAACTGCATCTTGCCACAGAGATTAGGAAACTTTAAACTGTGATATCATGCTAGCATAATATATATTTTAAATGCCTGCACCCACGCATCGTTACAATGGCGTCTTTGAACATCTGCTGAAAGGCCAAAAAATAAAATACGAAAAATTCCACCAATTCCAAAGGCAAATGTTACACAAAACGGTGAGCATTTGTTGTTGCCCAATTTGGCTCTGCGGTTGAGAGCCAAAACTGGGTCAAAATTTAGCCCACAAAACGCTGATACGTTAATGAAGTCGATTTGTATACAACATACCCATATGGATGGGTATATACTTATTTTTGTACAAATATCGGTATATATATAGTTCACTCATAGTCGAAGCTGATGTTCATCTTGGCGTGTTGACATGCCTTGCGCCATAAATCATTTAACGAGACGATGACAATGGCGATTGAACTAGCTTTCAAGAAGCTGGGGGTGAAAATCGAGGAAAAATCGAGGAATCGCAGAAAAATATAAATAAGCAGAGCTGTGGACAATTTTCTTTGCGATGTCAACTGCAATGATATCTCCATTGTTGCCACTTTACTTGTATTTCTTATTTTTTTTTCTCTCTTTATTTGTTTGCCTCTTTTCCGTCAATTCGATTCGATTCGTTTGCTCGATGGCTTCCTTGGCACCCAGCACGTGGCAAAAATGATATAACAACATTTGGAGGAAACGGTGGTCCCCACTCTCTATAAAGTTTTTGATCCGTCGGACTGCAATTACGGCAATTGCTCTTATGGGGGTATTTATTACCGGTGTTTGCTTACTTTTGACTGATTAAACCATTTTATTGATTTAATCTTTGCCTTAAAAGTAATGTTTAATTTTCTGCCAAATTTCAAAACCTTTTAAGAATTTTTTTTCTTGAATATTTTAAATTTAATTCTGGAAAGTGTTTCTCTACTTTAAAATCATTTTTCTTATAAAATAGTTTGTTGTTCAAATTCTTATATATATAAAGAATTAACTGGATTTTTTATTACTGGACTTTATATTTAGGGGTCTTAAGATGCATTCTTAAATTCCTTAATTTTTAAACATTTTATTTATTTTGTTAATGGCATTTTTGGGTAATTTTTGCTTTACTTCCATCTCGAATTGTTTTGATTCCTTGCCAAGTGCAAGACGACTTACCTAGTGGCTGACTTTCCGCTTATGTAACCAGAGGCTCCTGTCCCCTTCTGTGAAACCCCCTTGGCCCCCCACCACCGCCACTGCACAACAGCAACAGCAACTTCCTCTCTTCGCGCTCTTGTACACATATCACGCATACGCCGCATTGTGCGACAAGTAAAACGTCAGTCGCAATTCGCTGTTGTTGCTGCTGTTTCTGCTGTTGCTGCCTGGCAATTTGTTGGTAGCTCTCGGTGGTGGCTGCATTTTTGTTAAGTGCCAAACGAGACGCGCTTGCCTTGTCTGTCATGTCAGTCTAAAACCAAAGACAATTTATACAGCGGGGAGTCCGAATTGCGGACTAAAGATATGCATGCTGTCTTGTGATTAGCGATTTGCCAGTGCTCGAGAATAATTAAAGCCCCTCGATTATCCAATAGTCTTGTGGTTCGGTTCGGCTTAGTTCGTTTGATTTATTCATTTTCGAATTCCAGTTTCGCCCATTTAATTTATCAATTTAATTTAATTGTGTCGCGTATTTTTATTAGCCGCCGAACAAGGCCTCATTGGCCGGCTGACGAGTGGCTAAAAGGCTTTGGCTCTCCCTAGCCGCTGGATTAGCAATGGGCGTGGCCATATGATATATCTGTTTGGCTATAGAAATCCATATCCACTGCGGTCATGACACGCACTGTCGCTGAGGTCGCATTCGCAATTAAATTGGAATTTCAATTTGTTTTTCTGTGGATTGTTTGGGGGGTTTTCAGGCGCAGCTTAAATGCTCTATAAGAATATTTTTAAAATAATTACAAATCTAGAAACAAATTTTTTTATAGTTTAAAAAATAAAATATGTTCCACAATAAAGGTTTTTATGTTTTCAAAGTAAATTAAACCAAAATAAAATATAAATAAATACCAATTTATCTGTTATAAAAAGCGCACCATAAATTTCAGTTCCAATTTTAATTAAATGCATTAATGCCCTTTAAATATCATTTAAATCACTGAATAAAATACCCACAAATATCAAATAAAATATACCAGTTTGCATTGTTAATTTATGCACAATCTGTGACTTATCGAATCTAGTTTTTTGACTTGGGGCTTATCGTTTAAATATCTCTTTCTACGAGAGCTTGACTTTGGCAGTAATTTGTGGCATTTTTATTGATTCGAGAGTCGCCTTATGTTGGTTAAGGTCAAGGCAATTTATAAAAGCGTTTTTTCCAGCAACTTGTTTTTTTTTTATTTTGATTCTTTTTAGCTTGTTAATCGATTAGCGTTTCGATTCGATTTCGATTCTATACACTCAAAAAAAAATTTTAGAAAATCGCCTATGGATTTGCTTTACTGGCGATTTTTTTCTATATTTCTGGAATATTTCTTGAATTTAATGAATTTTGATTAATTGGAAGAAAATTTTCTTTACCAGTAGAAAATTTTTTTATTTTAAAGAAAAAAATCGCCAGTGAAGCAAATCCATAGGCGATTTTCTAAAATTCAGGGCGATTCATTTTCTGAGTGTATAAGCGGTGTCTTCCGCCTTGGCATAAAGTCCGTCCAAAAATGAAAATGAAATTCCCAACATACTGCAGACTGCTTAAAATTCACAGCATTCGCTTTAATGACGTTTGCCACGAGGCAGCTTCTGGGCTTGAACTCATTTGAAATTCATTAAGATGTCCCATAAAAACGTAACTTTTGCCTTAAGTAGTTTCTGGCCCCCCTGAAACCCCCGAACCGCCTCCTCCGCCTTCCCTGGGCAATATCCAAACAATTGTCGCACTAAACTGACACTGACAGACAGCTTAAAATATGATGATGAATATACTCGCATACTTTGGGAAAAGGCAAGAGGGAGACAGAGAGTTGGCAACAGTTTGTTGGCCAAACTAGCTAAAGTTTATTTTATGCTCCTCATCATCATAATCATCGTCGCTGCTGCTGACTTCCGCCCGCGTGTAAAAGTCAACTTCCGCACTGACTTTTGAGTCAATTAAACACTGCAACAGCAACATCCACTCTTCAGAGAAATATAACTATATCCACGGTCTCTTGGGGGCAGGAGGGGGATCCCATTTCGAATCTCTTTTGCCTTTAAGTAGCATTCCAAAAGTTGGCTGGCTGCAAAAACGTGACAGTTTTATGGGAATACCCTGCAAAAAGTCCAAGTCCAAATACCAAAGGCCAACAAAGGTGGACACACGCCAAAGCCATTAACAATTGGAATAATAGGCAAAGTGAAATAAAAACAATGGTAGAATATAGACAATAGCCTCATTAGCTATGGGTATTGTCGTCGATGATTTATGGTAGTCAGTTGACAAAGGTGGTGTCATAAATAATATATAAATATTATTTAAACAAATGCTAGCAATTGTTTTTGAGTATTGAGTGAGAATAAAATAAAATAAAATATACCCAATTTTTAAATCTCTAATAAATGTGCCTAAAAGTATGCAACAACATATTTTAATTTTTTAATTGCATATTTTTAGGCCCCTTTATAGGTGAATTTGTGTTTCAAGTGAAATAATTACATTAAATATCCTTGGGTACTTGCTGAGTTTTCAAATCTCTAAAAAAATATGTCTAAAAGAAGGCAACAATATGTTTTGATTTTTTGCTGCATACTTTTAGGCACCCTTATGGGTGATTTTAAAATAATGCACTTCCCCATTGACCTTATCCCGCTGTCCATTAAGAGTATTAAAACTTTGCCTACATTGTCCGATATTAAAATGCTCGCCCAGCACAACCTTCTTATTTTTCTGTTGTTCCGTTTGCTTCTTATAGAGGAGCGGAGCAAACTTTTCCAATTGTTAAAGTGTTGATGCTATATTATTAGATTGTGCTGCTTTTGAGCTGCCTGGAATCCCTTGCACCTGGTGGCACCTTGACAATTGTTGCAGCCAAGAAGTTGCCGTTGCCTTTCTGCGTTGCCTAGTGACTCGTGCTGTTGATTGTCCAAAAGTTAGCCGCCTCCTTTGGCCGCTCATTCAGCTATTCATCCACCGCCCACAAAATGCAATTTTAATGCAATTTGAAAATTTATTGTGCAATATTTTCTTAGCTTAGATAGCTTATTGCTGTTGTTGTTGCCCAGTTGGCAATTGCCCATTAACGTTAACAACTTTTTGCAAAGTCATTTGGCTTTCTGGGCCTCCTGACTCTTGGTTATATATATATACATTTTTTTTGGGGAGGTCGAAGAGCAGCTGAACCACTAAACCACCCACTAAACTAAACGAAACTCAAACTAAAACAAGAGGCCACTTAATGCGGTAGAAGATCTCTTGTAACCACTGAAAGGCACCAAGAAAAATTACAATTTACACTTGAAACTTGATTACACAAATGACAGGGGCGCCCCTAAAAAAGGGGGAAGAGGTCTTAGGGGCAACTCATTGTCTAAAGTGAAAGTTTTGTCAATTTGCGGGCACTTTGGGGCCTTTTGTTTTCTTTCGCTCGGCATCTGCCGCTGCTGCCTCATCTTCTCCGCTGTTTCACTGCCAGATTATGCAACAGATGTACGAAATTATATAGGTATTATTGTTTAAGCCCGACCGCAGAAAAAGTAATTCACACTTGAAACCATTCACTGCCAACCTGAAAGCCAACTGGCTTTCAAATGGCTAAGGTCACGAGGAAAGGCTTTGTTTTAAATTCTTGGTATTAGCTATAAATAATTAAGTTGAATTAATAAGTAAACAAATTATATTAGAAGACAAAATATGTAGAATCTACTTTAATATCTACCTAGAACAAAAAGGAAACCAATATCAAAGATTTAATTTAATTTAAAACATAATTAATTGCATGAACAAAAATATTATATTTTTTATATATATATTTTTGTTTTCTCTTCCAGGAAATCGATGTCTTGACATTGGGCGCCAAAGACCAAGAAACATTGATAGCCGATCGCAATAAACGGACGATTGGACTGCTGCGCGAACTGTTCCCCGACATCACCAAGGTAAGAGAGCCCAATCGGATGTAATTCTTTATAAACATGATCCATTAGCCGTCCTCCGTCCTTCGAGCCCCTGAAATGTCAGCCAACTCGCCCCCCATATTTAATGCAAAATATCTATATATAACCCAATCCACTCAGACACTTTTAGCCCAGGGTTTTAGGGCCCTAGAAACAACAATATATGTATACCCCCTGTCTAAATGAAAGTGTATTGAACTTGGCGCCACGCGAAATGTTTTCCTCATATATAGGAGATCAATGTGCAGATCAATCGGCTAGTGAATAATGTGTTGCAACGCGTTGGGCCCGTGGTTCTCGGGACAATTCTCAATCCGGCCTTCGATCGGGGCCTCCATCCGCGCAAGCCAGTCGAAGAGACAGACGACAGTGATAAGGATGATAAGGAGGAGGGTTCCAAGGACTATGATCAACTGCCCGAGGACCTGACTCAATTCCAGCCCGATGGGGATTTCGCAAAGGAGCGCTGAAAATGAGAAATGATACACTTAAAAAAAAAACAGAAACGAAATTAGCCTAAGGCTTTTTATCCCAATAACTATTATTGGCCTGGTCCCCCCGTCCTCTCCTGGAATTTTGTGTACCACCTCCAACATGTTGCATGTTTTTATCTTTAGGCTTAGCTAATCGAGCACTCAACCAACCCAAAACCACCTCCTGAACTCAGCATGCCAGCACCACCCAGTAGCAGAGGTTGAACCACCCACAAAGCACACAGAAACACATAGACAGACACGAACATTTAGACGCACAAATAAACAACACCCACAATTGAGTTTTCAGCCTGCAAAAATAAACAGATATCATCATTCCAACAATTGGCCAAGATCATCAAAGAACAGTCAACAATCGACCAAATCGACAACCAATCAGCTATCAGCATCTAATCATATGGAAAAAGCACCACCAAAACAACAACCACCAAAGAATCTCATTTACCAGTAAAAAAAACAACAACCACATATTTTCTGTTGATCTTTCGCTGATCTCTCGCTAGGAAATCGACTCGATAGTCAATCGAATTATAGCCCAGGTGATCCGGGTGGCCGGTCCGGGTCTTCTGAATAGCATTTTGGCCGGGAATCGCGGTGGTGCGGGTGGTGCAGCCGGTGGTGGCAGTACGACGCCAGCATCCGATTTTGATGCCGATTTCGATGCGGACTTCGATGATGATGACGATGTGGCGCCATCTAGCAGTCCGTCGACGAGAAGTGCCGGTGCGCCTGCACCACCGCTGCCAACAGAACAACAACCACCGAGCAGTGTCAACGAGGTGGAAGAGAGCCGGCGGGTGAAGATCGATCTGCCCACATTTGCGCCAGAAACGAAAGGTGACGAAAGCACAACCAATCAAGCATCTTCATCCCCAACAACAACCACCACCAGTCCCAGTAATCCAACAACAACAACAACCACCACTAGTAGAACCACTAGCACCACTAGCACGCCAGTGGAGGAGCTGGTCCAGTTATTGCCGCGCTCCTTGGAGCCAGCAACAACCGCTGACCCAACTCCAGAAACAACAACTACAACAACGACAACGACAACTTTGCCTGCAACAACAACCACCTCCACCACTACTACCACTTCTAGCACCACTGATTTACCCCCACCAATAGAACCTCCAACCACCACCAACATTCTGTTCCCCACCAACAACAGCATCGATGAACCACAATTGCTAACCATCATAGCCGATATAAATCGTTTATTAAATTCTACCAATTATTTTATTACAACCAGAGATAATCTAACAACAACAACAACAAAGGCCACAACAATTGACAACAACAACATTACGAAATTATTGCCCGTCTTTGATTGAGCACAAAAACAACAAACAAAAACTATATTACAAAAAGGCAAAAAGAGGAATTGAAAGCAAGAACAACAACCACCATCACAACAACAAGAACAACAACCACCAGAACAACAACAACAACCACAAATGGATGAAGAAGAAGAAGATGAAGAACAAGAGAGCATCAGCAACATCATTTAGAAAAAAGCATTTTCGAATTCGTTTAGAGATTTTCGCTCATTGTTTAACAAATGGAAATGAATCGGTTCAAAAGTTGTTCGTTAAGTGGTTACAAACATTTCGAATAGATATTGGTTATAAAATTTCAAAAGTATTGATGAATTTCCAAATTTTAAGTATGTGAACCACTTTTGAACCACCTTAAACCACTTCGGAATCACGCCACCATCATATATGCCGTAGAAATCACCCTCTGAACCACTAAGCACTTGTATAAAATTCCTACCCCTTGTAAATTGTTGATACTCCCCAATAGGCCCCAATCTTTGACCCCAAAAACCAAAAACCATCCACATTGTACGTAACCGAAACTGAAACACCGAAGTTAACTAATCTCCCCTCCCCTCCTCCACTTAAATCCCCGAAAAATAAACTCCATGCACACCTGCACCACCGAATCAAAATTCGTATACGCACCGCACCACGCACTTCGATTCGATTCGTGGTTGTTGTAGCAAATCGACGAGCAGGCAAACCGCATTATCTCGAAGCTCCTGAGAACTTTGGGACCCACGGTGCTGCGTACCGCGATCCAGGGAAATAGTGCCAATGCGGCCAGGACCAGTTTCGATGCGGACTTCGATGATGATGACGATGAGAGCTCCAAGAGCTCCAGTGGCAGCACCACTTCCACCAGTTCCGGTAGCGATAGTGGCACCCGTGTGACCATCGAACTGCCCACCTTCGAGCCCGATGATGACAACGAGATCGATGCGGAGAAGAGCAGCAGCAGCAGCAGCAGCACCACCACAACCACCAGCACCTCAACCACCGAATCCACCTAAAGTGCGTTTCATTTGCTACAACAACACAAAAACAGAGTCAAAATATCACCAAAAATTACTAAGGGGTTTCAAATCATTTATAAAGGTGTCTAAAAGAAGGCAACAATTTTTTTCTAAATTTCACTGCATACTTTTAGACACTATTATAGGAGATTTGAAAACTCCAGTGACCTTCAGAGATTATTTCATATATAGATGATATATTAATATGAAAAACTCTAGTTGCCATTTTGGTTTTGATATTGCGCAGCTCTGTCGAGAAGTACTATTGAATTGGCTTTTAAAATTGGTTTCTCTTTCCCTTCAAAAATTTCTCCGCGCAGCACAACAACCGCCACCCAACCCAACCCAACCTACAGAAATTCGAAATAAACGTTAAAGGAGAATAATGAAATGAAAGTGACGTTCTCATTGAATTGGCATTGTTAACCAACACTTGATTGTTTTGAAATTACCTTTAGCACACTGGTTTTCAGCACACATACACACTCACCAGCCTTCCTTCTCTGTCTCTTGTCTTTTCCACTTTTCCTGTCTCTTTCCGCCTCTGTCTCAGTCTTTCTCGCTCCCTCCGCCTTTACTTTCTACCTTTATCCTCTGAACTTCTGACTACATTTCCTTCTTATATCTATCCTGCTCCCTCATGCGCACCCTCATTCCACTTAGGTTAGTAGGTGTTTTTTACAAAATAAATTTATATATTTTACATTTATATTGTATTAGTTGTGTAAGTCATTTTTTAATACATTTCCAAATATATCGATATAATTTGTACGCTCCTGTGACTTTTTGCTCAAACCAGAAACATCACATTTCTGGAGATTTCAAAGCTCTGAGAAAAAGGTGTCGAAAAGTAGGCGACGTATTGCTCATTTCTGTATATACCGCATACTAAATATTTCCCTGCCTTCTCGATGACACTTTAAAAATGAGTTTTGTGATACCTGGAGATGTTCGAAAATCGCGAAATATTCATACACACTTTTGGTGCGCAGACAGACTCGAAAAAAGCGTGTAAAAAACCCATTAAGCTCATTTTTGTCGCTCCTGAAACGAAGGTGAATTGTGGTTCTGGTTGGGTGTCTTGTTTTTCTCACCACCGCACTCGTCTGTACACTCACCACACTCACGAGTGCATTCACATCTCCAAACTATCTCTCCGCTCTCATCCCCAGAATTATTCGATATGCTCAGTGTACTCATTTCCGCACTCATTTTCGCCGTCTTCGTTTTTCCGCCCGCCGCAGAATAAAGAAGCAAAAACAAAAGAGTTGACAGGGATTGCATTTATTTTCCGTTGGCCAAGAAAGAGATTTGTTTTTCCAACTATCCAGAATAAAAACAAAAAATATTTTAACGCTTGAAAAATATACCCAAGGAAGCGTAGTCGATAGTCGATGTCTGAAAAAAGTGGATTTCTAGACTAAGCGCTCCTCTCTAACTCTCTCTCTCACTCTATCTCTTTCTATCTGTGCTGTCTCGCTCCTTTTGTTTTTCTCTTTTGCTTATTTTTGTATCTTTTTCTCTTTATTTTCATGTTCCATTAAAAACCGATTCGATTTGTGCAATGCAAATAACTCACCACCAAAACAATCAAATCAATCAATCAAAAAAAAATTACGAACAATGCTCCACCGAAAACTGATAACCGATAACTGATAACTGATAACCGATAACTGACAACCGCAAATGTATACACAAATACATCGAACGCATTTGTGCACGTATTCGATAACCGCCCATCAATCAATCGATCGATTTCGTCACCACAATCGACAACAAAAATCGCCTGTGCAAATGATCAATCAAAAAACCACCTAACCACTCTGTCTCCACCTAACCTCACATTCACCCTAACCTCACAAACGATGACATAACCTCACTTGTGTTGAACTCACTGAAACACCACACCCGAACACACTGAAACACAAAACACACTGAAAAACAAAACGAAACGAAACACACACACACATTACACGTCGCCGAATCCTACGCTTTGCCTTACCCTCAAACGCCAAAACCCTCGACCTTGGGCTCTTCACCCACCACCCCCTGAACCACCCACTATCCCCTACCTCCCCCTTCCCACCACACGCACATAATCAACGCCTAAATTCGAAATTTCTAAACCAACACCCACAATAAAAAAAAAACAATGCAACAAATGCCCTACAAAAACCAACCTATGACCAAAACCCGATCGAAAAACCCAAAAGAATGGAGCCACCGATACCCAGATCGACTTGTCGGCCATCAACAAGCAGTTGGAGGAGACGATCCGAGTGGCCCGCCAGGTGAAGGAGGCGGAGGCAGCCGCCGCCGCAGTGGCCGCCCAGTCCCTGTCCCCATCCTCGTCCGCCTCCTCCTCGCCCATTGCCCAGGCGCCCATTCCCCTGAAATCGAACAACGAGCCCATCCAGCTGAGCTTCAACAACGAACTGCCCAGCGGAACCCCGAGTGCCGGTGTGGATAACAAGGCCCTGAGCACCAACGATCTCCAGCTGTCCGAGTCCAAGTCGCCGGCGATCGATGAGCTGACCCTCGACTCCGCGGAGGAGACAGCCGACTTGGACGATCGCAACAAGAGGTAAGTGAGGGGATTCCTTCGTCTTTCTTTATACAAAGACCAAAATGATACTACACTAGGATTGTGATCACTTAAATTGTAATTTAAACACTCTACTAATTGAACACTTTCATTTCCTTTTCCCCTTACAACAATTCAACAACATTTCAACAACAAATGGAATTACTTTACCCATAAAAAATCCCAACTAATATCAATAAATTCAAAATAAACAAAAAACTTTAAAATTCCATAACAATTCAATCACAATATTCAACAACAAATCAACCACAAAAATAAATAAATCAAAATTCAACAACAACTCAACAATATTTGAAATACACTCAACAATCAACCAATTGCAATGCAATGACCTCACCACAACAACCAAAATTGAACAACAACTTGATAATAAATAAATACTATTTCAACAACAACTCAACAACATTTGCCAAACACTCAACAATCAAACCATTGGAATGGAACAACAATCAAAATTCAACAACAAATCAACAATATACTAATATAAAATCGAAATTCAACAATACACTAATATAAAATCGAAATTCAACAACAAATCAACAACATTTGATCTCGAATGGCCAATCACCAATAGTAATCTGTTCAAAAGGTTCCTCAGCTTCGGCGGTGCGGGTCTGGCCGGTGGCTCCAGCGGCGGTGCAGGTGGCTCGCCCGGCGGTGGCAATGCCCTGGGAGCCGGAGGCTCCGGCAACTTCCTTCTGGATGTGGTGAGGGTGAGTACTGCCCAATTGTTTTCCACATTATTGGATATTTTAATTGACTCCCCCCCCCAAACATCAGCTCTTCTCGGGCAGCGTTCAGACCCAGCAGGGCGATGAGGCGGCCAACTCTGTGGGCGGCGGTGCCAGCATCAGTAGCAGTGGCAGCCTGGGCGGCGACGGGGACGCGGATGGCGACAGCACCCGCAACGCCGACGGCTACACCGAGGGCATTCCCGGCCCAGTCACGCGCCTCGTCGTGCTGGCCAACCGCGGTCTGGCCAATCTCGTCCAGGACTTGATACTGGTGAGTGCTTGAATCGAATAGATTATACCTACAGTTTGGTAAAAATATTCCGATTATTTCCACTTTTTCGATATATCGATTATTTCGATATTCCGATTAATTCGATATTCCAAACTAAAAGCACCTAAGAACAATTTTAGTTTCTTAAAAAATGCTTAAAACTTTTATTAATTATACCGTTTTTTTAAATATTCCAATAAAAAAGAAAATACAACAAGTTTATTATTAAACAAAATTAAAAATTTTGAAATTGACAAAATATATAAAAATAGATTTCTTCTGTGAGTCTACCTCAAAATGAAACAATGAAAAACAAAACATTGGGATTGTTTTTAATCGGTTTTAATATTTTAAATTAGTAAAAATAGAAACAACAAAATAACTTTAAAATGATATAATGACCTAATGATCTGACATATTCTTTTCTTTCCAGCGCGTTGCGGCCACTAGCGAGAAGTTCGTGAACTTCAAGGCCAAGCTGATAACGGCGCTGATCTAAGGTCAAGGGTCAAGGTCAGCACCGGCCACGCTCCCTCGCCCGAATTAGTCAAGTCACCAACCTGTACAGAGTCAAATGCAGCAGATCACCCTCTCTATCTCGCTCCCCCACCCCACGTCTGTCTCTCTCTCTCTCTGTCTCCCCCTAAGCCCCCTACCTCCCCCCGCCCACACACACCCACACGCCCCCTCACTCACACGGAGACAATTTTGTTGTGCATCATTCGATCAAAGAAAATTTCCCGGCAATTTCAACATATTTTTTTTAAATTTTTAGCAAATTTTTTTATAACAAAACAAAACACAAAAAAATCATAAAATTATAAGCAAAATTGCAAAAAAAAAACAAATCAAAGAATTTTATTTATATATATCAATAAAACAAAAAAATTAAAAATCGAAAGTATGACATTAAAATGTCTATATGTATAGAAGAAGAAGAAACGCCTGATACAATTATTCCTGCCCTAGTGCTAAATCTATTTTCCCAAATCTCCTCCCCCAATTTCCAACGGCTTTTGTAAATATTTTGCTATTTGCAAATAGCACTTTTCCGCCCACCACTTTTCCTGATCTTTTTTCCTTAATTTGTATTTTCCATCCAATTCCCTTCTCTCTTTTTTGTGTATATTTTGTGTTCTATTAAAAAAATCATGACTGTGGTGTTTTATTTACTATTATTTTTAATTATTTTAAACGAAAACGAAACGAAGATGAAGAAAGGAGAAAAATGAGTAAGAAAGGACGCAGAAAACCCGTCAAGTTTCTATTAGAAGAAATTTAGCCGAGCCTAATGTTTTTTTTTATTTGCTGTTGTTGGTCAAAGAGCCCCTTAAAAAAACACCCACACTACCACTGAAGCATACTCACACATACATACACATATATACCATATAAACCGCGATCCGATATGCCTATTATATAATATATAGATCCTTGTTCTTGTTCGACATCCCTGTGTCCCCTGGATTTGTTTGTAACTCCCCCATTTAATCCTAAGCGAATTGTGTTTTTCTCACTATGATTTTTTTCTAGCCTAGCTAAGTGAAACTTTCGAAAAATGTGTATAAAATAAAAGTAAAATGATTTTAAATTCGTTGTTGTTTTATTTAAGGAACTGAAAAATATGCAGCTTATAAGTAAATGGAATTTTATTTAATTGTTTAGGAACTGAAACATTTCCAACTTAAAAAAAAATCTAATTAAATTTAGTTCGTTACGTTCTGATTTAATGCTTTTGGGTTTTATTTAAGGAATTAAAACATTTGCGGCTTAAAAACAAATTGAATTAAATTTAATGTAATTTTTCAACTAACTTGCCATTTTTAAATAAAATGCGTTTAATTCGCTTTCCAAAATTGCTTAATATGCACAAATTACTCATTAGCAAGCCAGCAATTAAACTACAAAATATTCCAAAATGAATACCCATTGTGTAAAATATTTTTGGGCAATTAAAAGGCCTTTGCAAATATTCGTACAATTTCGCAGTGAAGTTGGTTGCGTTGCCCCCTCTATTCTGGTTTATAAATATCTGGAATATCCATCTCGGCACATTCCGCACACAAAACTGCGCTGCTTGAGTGAGCAAGTGAATGAGTGAATAAATGAGTGACTAAATGACTGACTGACTGAATGACTGACTGAACGCATGCGTGGCATGTGTGCGGTCCAGAAAAACCGAAAGTAAAAATAAAAATAAAAGGAGGGGAAGGTCAGGGTCCAGGGTCTAAGTGCCACTTCCGTTTTCCACACACAAGAAAAACAAACAAATCGGCGATCCGACGGACAAATGGAGATGGATATATATGCTACTTATCCTGGGATCTCGGATCGCCAGGCACTTGATGCACAATTAGTGGCGCACAAGTGCTCGGCATTCTTCGCTTGTTTTGACAAGTGCACACAGTTATTATTTCCCATCTTCACGCACAATTTGTCGTCACTAGCCGATGACTTAATTCATTTAGCAGAACAGAGCAGAAAAGAACATAAAAGTACTGGGATCTGGATACTTGTACATAGAGCAGTGGCTATATAGTCGGGGAATCGGTCAGGGAATCCGTTCAGTTGCTCTCAAATCGCTGCCTTCGACGGATGGCGGTCGCATCATCATCATCATCATCGTATTTGATGGCTGTGTTTGCCCAGGATAGTAACAGTAGTGGCAGTGCCAGCGGCAGTGGATGCAGTGGGGCAGCCGCCGATTCCGAGGACTCCCTGATGGGCCAGGAGATCGGCCAGGGGAGTCATCAGGGGAGCCACAGGAGACGACCGCCGCGCCAAAAGATCAACGCCAGGGAGCGCTACAGGACATTCAAGTGAGTCGGAAAGTAAAATATATTCATGATTTTTTGCGAAAAATTAAAAATGAATAAATTGTCAAGGTTTAAATGCCAATCGTTAGGAAATTTAATAACGAGTTCAGAAAGGTATGACAATCCATACTTTGAATCAGTATTTACTTTGTTATAGCGAAAAAACGGGTTTTGGTTTTTTTTGGAAACTCGGGATTTCAGTTTTTGACAAAAATGGAATTTTTTCTTTTGGTTTTTTTGCTGTAACTTATGCAAAAATGGTCCTACACCAAAAATACATACTGTTTTGAACAGATAACAAAATTTGCTATAAATCCATATAACTTTCCGTGTGATTTTGGAAAAATAAAATTTTCGCCAATTTTTAATTTTTTTATAAGGGGGTACCCCATGATTTTTTGCGAAAAATTAAAAATGAATAAATTGTCAAGGTTTAAATGCCAATCGTTAGGAAATTTAATAACGAGTTCAGAAAGGTATGACAATCCATACTTTGAATCAGTATTTACTTTGTTATAGCGAAAAAACGGGTTTTGGTTTTTTTTTGGAAATTCGGGATTTCAGTTTTTGACAAAAATGGAATTTTTTCTTTTGGTTTTTTTGCTGTAACTTATGCAAAAATGGTCCTACACCAAAAATTCATACTGTTTTGAACAGATAACAAAATTTGCTATAAATCCATATAACTTTCCGTGTGATTTTGGAAAAATAAAATTTTCGCCAATTTTTAATTTTTTTATAAGGGGGTACCCCATGATTTTTTGCGAAAAATTAAAAATGAATAAATTGTCAAGGTTTAAATGCCAATCGTTAGGAAATTTAATAACGAGTTCAGAAAGGTATGACAATCCATACTTTGAATCAGTATTTACTTTGTTATAGCGAAAAAACGGGTTTTGGTTTTTTTTTGGAAACTCGGGATTTCAGTTTTTGACAAAAATGGAATTTTTTCTTTTGGTTTTTTTGCTGTAACTTATGCAAAAATGGTCCTACACCAAAAATACATACTGTTTTGAACAGATAACAAAATTTGCTATAAATCCATATAACTTTCCGTGTGATTTTGGAAAAATAAAATTTTCGCCAATTTTTAATTTTTTTATAAGGGGGTACCCCATGATTTTTTGCGAAAAATTAAAAATGAATAAATTGTCAAGGTTTAAATGCCAATCGTTAGGAAATTTAATAACGAGTTCAGAAAGGTATGACAATCCATACTTTGAATCAGTATTTACTTTGTTATAGCGAAAAAACGGGTTTTGGTTTTTTTTGGAAATTCGGGATTTCAGTTTTTGACAAAAATGGAATTTTTTCTTTTGGTTTTTTTGCTGTAACTTATGCAAAAATGGTCCTACACCAAAAATTCATACTGTTTTGAACAGATAACAAAATTTGCTATAAATCCATATAACTTTCCGTGTGATTTTGGAAAAATAAAATTTTCGCCAATTTTTAATTTTTTTATAAGGGGGTACCCCATGATTTTTTGCGAAAAATTAAAAATGAATAAATTGTCAAGGTTTAAATGCCAATCGTTAGGAAATTTAATAACGAGTTCAGAAAGGTATGACAATCCATACTTTGAATCAGTATTTACTTTGTTATAGCGAAAAAACGGGTTTTGGTTTTTTTTTGGAAATTCGGGATTTCAGTTTTTGACAAAAATGGAATTTTTTCTTTTGGTTTTTTTGCTGTAACTTATGCAAAAATGGTCCTACACCAAAAATTCATACTGTTTTGAACAGATAACAAAATTTGCTATAAATCCATATAACTTTCCGTGTGATTTTGGAAAAATAAAATTTTCGCCAATTTTTAATTTTTTTATAAGGGGGTACCCCATGATTTTTTGCGAAAAATTAAAAATGAATAAATTGTCAAGGTTTAAATGCCAATCGTTAGGAAATTTAATAACGAGTTCAGAAAGGTATGACAATCCATACTTTGAATCAGTATTTACTTTGTTATAGCGAAAAAACGGGTTTTGGTTTTTTTTGGGAAACTCGGGATTTCAGTTTTTGACAAAAATGGAATTTTTTCTTTTGGTTTTTTTGCTGTAACTTATGCAAAAATGGTCCTACACCAAAAATACATACTGTTTTGAACAGATAACAAAATTTGCTATAAATCCATATAACTTTCCGTGTGATTTTGGAAAAATAAAATTTTCGCCAATTTTTAATTTTTTTATAAGGGGGTACCCCATGATTTTTTGCGAAAAATTAAAAATGAATAAATTGTCAAGGTTTAAATGCCAATCGTTAGGAAATTTAATAGCGAGTTCAGAAAGGTATGACAATCCATACTTTGAATCAGTATTTACTTTGTTATAGCGAAAAAACGGGTTTTGGTTTTTTTTTGGAAATTCGGGATTTCAGTTTTTGACAAAAAATGGAATTTTTTCTTTTGGTTTTTTTGCTGTAACTTATGCAAAAATGGTCCTACACCAAAAATTCATACTGTTTTGAACAGATAACAAAATTTGCTATAAATCCATATAACTTTCCGTGTGATTTTGGAAAAATAAAATTTTCGCCAATTTTTAATTTTTTTATAAGGGGGTACCCCATGATTTTTTGCGAAAAATTAAAAATGAATAAATTGTCAAGGTTTAAATGCCAATCGTTAGGAAATTTAATAACGAGTTTAGAAAGGTATGACAATCCATACTTTGAATCAGTATTTACTTTGTTATAGCGAAAAAACGGGTTTTGGTTTTTTTTTGGAAATTCGGGATTTCAGTTTTTGACAAAAAATGGAATTTTTTCTTTTGGTTTTTTTGCTGTAACTTATGCAAAAATGGTCCTACACCAAAAATTCATACTGTTTTGAACAGATAACAAAATTTGCTATAAATCCATATAACTTTCCGTGTGATTTTGGTAAAATAAAATTTTCGCCAATTTTTAATTTTTTTATAAGGGGGTTGCGAAAAATTAAAAATGAATAAATTGTCAAGGTTTAAATGCCAATCGTTAGGAAATTTAATAACGAGTTCAGAAAGGTATGACAATCCATACTTTGAATCAGTATTTACTTTGTTATAGCGAAAAAACGGGTTTTGGTTTTTTTTTGGAAACTCGGGATTTCAGTTTTTGACAAAAATGGAATTTTTTCTTTTGGTTTTTTTGCTGTAACTTATGCAAAAATGGTCCTACACCAAAAATTCATACTGTTTTGATTAGATAACAAAATTTGCTATAAATCCATATAACTTTCCGTGTGATTTTGGTAAAATAAAATTTTCGCCAATTTTTAATTTTTTTATAAGGGGGTACCCCATGATTTTTTGCGAAAAATTAAAAATGAATAAATTGTCAAGGTTTAAATGCCAATCGTTAGGAAATTTAATAACGAGTTTAGAAAGGTATGACAATCCATACTTTGAATCAGTATTTACTTTGTTATAGCGAAAAAACGGGTTTTGGTTTTTTTTTGGAAATTCGGGATTTCAGTTTTTGACAAAAATGGACTTTTTCTTTTGGTTTTTTTGCTGTAACTTATGCAAAAATGGTCCTACACCAAAAATTCATACTGTTTTGAACAGATAACAAAATTTGCTATAAATCCATATAACTTTCCGTGTGATTTTGGAAAAATAAAATTTTCGCCAATTTTTAATTTTTTTATAAGGGGGTACCCCATGATTTTTTGCGAAAAATTAAAAATGAATAAATTGTCAAGGTTTAAATGCCAATCGTTAGGAAATTTAATAACGAGTTCAGAAAGGTATGACAATCCATACTTTGAATCAGTATTTACTTTGTTATAGCGAAAAAACGGGTTTTGGTTTTTTTTTGAAATTCGGGATTTCAGTTTTTGACAAAAATGGAATTTTTTCTTTTGGTTTTTTTGCTGTAACTTATGCAAAAATGGTCCTACACCAAAAATACATACTGTTTTGAACAGATAACAAAATTTGCTATAAATCCATATAACTTTCCGTGTGATTTTGGAAAAATAAAATTTTCGCCAATTTTTAATTTTTTTATAAGGGGGTACCCCATGATTTTTTGCGAAAAATTAAAAATGAATAAATTGTCAAGGTTTAAATGCCAATCGTTAGGAAATTTAATAGCGAGTTCAGAAAGGTATGACAATCCATACTTTGAATCAGTATTTACTTTGTTATAGCGAAAAAACGGGTTTTGGTTTTTTTTTGGAAATTCGGGATTTCAGTTTTTGACAAAAATGGACTTTTTCTTTTGGTTTTTTTGCTGTAACTTATGCAAAAATGGTCCTACACCAAAAATTCATACTGTTTTGAACAGATAACAAAATTTGCTATAAATCCATATAACTTTCCGTGTGATTTTGGAAAAATAAAATTTTCGCCAATTTTTAATTTTTTTATAAGGGGGTACCCCATGATTTTTTGCGAAAAATTAAAAATGAATCAATTGTCAAGGTTTAAATGCCAATCGTTAGGAAATTTAATAACGAGTTCAGAAAGGTATGACAATCCATACTTTGAATCAGTATTTACTTTGTTATAGCGAAAAAACGGGTTTTGGTTTTTTTTGGAAACTCGGGATTTCAGTTTTTGACAAAAATGGAATTTTTTCTTTTGGTTTTTTTGCTGTAACTTATGCAAAAATGGTCCTACACCAAAAATTCATACTGTTTTGATTAGATAACAAAATTTGCTATAAATCCATATAACTTTCCGTGTGATTTTGGTAAAATAAAATTTTCGCCAATTTTTAATTTTTTTATAAGGGGGTACCCCATGATTTTTTGCGAAAAATTAAAAATGAATAAATTGTCAAGGTTTAAATGCCAATCGTTAGGAAATTTAATAACGAGTTTAGAAAGGTATGACAATCCATACTTTGAATCAGTATTTACTTTGTTATAGCGAAAAAACGGGTTTTGGTTTTTTTTGGAAATTCGGGATTTCAGTTTTTGACAAAAATGGACTTTTTCTTTTGGTTTTTTTGCTGTAACTTATGCAAAAATGGTCCTACACCAAAAATTCATACTGTTTTGAACAGATAACAAAATTTGCTATAAATCCATATAACTTTCCGTGTGATTTTGGAAAAATAAAATTTTCGCCAATTTTTAATTTTTTTATAAGGGGGTACCCCATGATTTTTTGCGAAAAATTAAAAATGAATAAATTGTCAAGGTTTAAATGCCAATCGTTAGGAAATTTAATAACGAGTTCAGAAAGGTATGACAATCCATACTTTGAATCAGTATTTACTTTGTTATAGCGAAAAAACGGGTTTTGGTTTTTTTTTGGAAATTCGGGATTTCAGTTTTTGACAAAAATGGAATTTTTTCTTTTGGTTTTTTTGCTGTAACTTATGCAAAAATGGTCCTACACCAAAAATACATACTGTTTTGAACAGATAACAAAATTTGCTATAAATCCATATAACTTTCCGTGTGATTTTGGAAAAATAAAATTTTCGCCAATTTTTAATTTTTTTATAAGGGGGTACCCCATGATTTTTTGCGAAAAATTAAAAATGAATAAATTGTCAAGGTTTAAATGCCAATCGTTAGGAAATTTAATAGCGAGTTCAGAAAGGTATGACAATCCATACTTTGAATCAGTATTTACTTTGTTATAGCGAAAAAACGGGTTTTGGTTTTTTTTTGGAAATTCGGGATTTCAGTTTTTGACAAAAATGGACTTTTTCTTTTGGTTTTTTTGCTGTAACTTATGCAAAAATGGTCCTACACCAAAAATTCATACTGTTTTGAACAGATAACAAAATTTGCTATAAATCCATATAACTTTCCGTGTGATTTTGGAAAAATAAAATTTTCGCCAATTTTTAATTTTTTTATAAGGGGGGTACCCCATGATTTTTTGCGAAAAATTAAAAATGAATCAATTGTCAAGGTTTAAATGCCAATCGTTAGGAAATTTAATAACGAGTTCAGAAAGGTATGACAATCCATACTTTGAATCAGTATTTACTTTGTTATAGCGAAAAAACGGGTTTTGGTTTTTTTTTGGAAATTCGGGATTTCAGTTTTTGACAAAAATGGAATTTTTCTTTTGGTTTTTTTGCTGTTACTTATGCAAAAATGGTCCTACACCAAAAATTCATACTGTTTTGAACAGATAACAAAATTTGCTATAAATCCATATAACTTTCCGTGTGATTTTGGAAAAATAAAATTTTCGCCAATTTTTAATTTTTTTATAAGGGGGTACCCCATGATTTTTTGCGAAAAATTAAAAATGAATAAATTGTCAAGGTTTAAATGCCAATCGTTAGGAAATTTAATAACGAGTTCAGAAAGGTATGACAATCCATACTTTGAATCAGTATTTACTTTGTTATAGCGAAAAAACGGGTTTTGGTTTTTTTTGGAAACTCGGGATTTCAGTTTTTGACAAAAATGGAATTTTTTCTTTTGGTTTTTTTGCTGTAACTTATGCAAAAATGGTCCTACACCAAAAATTCATACTGTTTTGATTAGATAACAAAATTTGCTATAAATCCATATAACTTTCCGTGTGATTTTGGAAAAATAAAATTTTCGCCAATTTTTAATTTTTTTATAAGGGGGTACCCCATGATTTTTTGCGAAAAATTAAAAATGAATAAATTGTCAAGGTTTAAATGCCAATCGTTAGGAAATTTAATAACGAGTTCAGAAAGGTATGACAATCCATACTTTGAATCAGTATTTACTTTGTTATAGCGAAAAAACGGGTTTTGGTTTTTTTTGGAAATTCGGGATTTCAGTTTTTGACAAAAATGGAATTTTTTCTTTTGGTTTTTTTGCTGTAACTTATGCAAAAATGGTCCTACACCAAAAATTCATACTGTTTTGAACAGATAACAAAATTTGCTATAGATCCATATAACTTTCCGTGTGATTTTGGAAAAATAAAATTTTCGCCAATTTTTAATTTTTTTATAAGGGGGGTACCCCATGATTTTTTGCGAAAAATTAAAAATGAATAAATTGTCAAGGTTTAAATGCCAATCGTTAGGAAATTTAATAACGAGTTCAGAAAGGTATGACAATCCATACTTTGAATCAGTATTTACTTTGTTATAGCGAAAAAACGGGTTTTGGTTTTTTTTTGGAAACTCGGGATTTCAGTTTTTGACAAAAATGGAATTTTTTCTTTTGGTTTTTTTGCTGTAACTTATGCAAAAATGGTCCTACACCAAAAATACATACTGTTTTGAACAGATAACAAAATTTGCTATAAATCCATATAACTTTCCGTGTGATTTTGGAAAAATAAAATTTTCGCCAATTTTTAATTTTTTTATAAGGGGGTACCCCATGATTTTTTGCGAAAAATTAAAAATGAATAAATTGTCAAGGTTTAAATGCCAATCGTTAGGAAATTTAATAACGAGTTCAGAAAGGTATGACAATCCATACTTTGAATCAGTATTTACTTTGTTATAGCGAAAAAACGGGTTTTGGTTTTTTTTGGAAACTCGGGATTTCAGTTTTTGACAAAAATGGAATTTTTTCTTTTGGTTTTTTTGCTGTAACTTATGCAAAAATGGTCCTACACCAAAAATACATACTGTTTTGAACAGATAACAAAATTTGCTATAAATCCATATAACTTTCCGTGTGATTTTGGAAAAATAAAATTTTCGCCAATTTTTAATTTTTTTATAAGGGGGTACCCCATGATTTTTTGCGAAAAATTAAAAATGAATAAATTGTCAAGGTTTAAATGCCAATCGTTAGGAAATTTAATAACGAGTTCAGAAAGGTATGACAATCCATACTTTGAATCAGTATTTACTTTGTTATAGCGAAAAAACGGGTTTTGGTTTTTTTTTGGAAACTCGGGATTTCAGTTTTTGACAAAAATGGAATTTTTTCTTTTGGTTTTTTTGCTGTAACTTATGCAAAAATGGTCCTACACCAAAAATACATACTGTTTTGAACAGATAACAAAATTTGCTATAAATCCATATAACTTTCCGTGTGATTTTGGAAAAATAAAATTTTCGCCAATTTTTAATTTTTTTATAAGGGGGTACCCCATGATTTTTTGCGAAAAATTAAAAATGAATAAATTGTCAAGGTTTAAATGCCAATCGTTAGGAAATTTAATAACGAGTTCAGAAAGGTATGACAATCCATACTTTGAATCAGTATTTACTTTGTTATAGCGAAAAAACGGGTTTTGGTTTTTTTTTGGAAACTCGGGATTTCAGTTTTTGACAAAAATGGAATTTTTTCTTTTGGTTTTTTTGCTGTAACTTATGCAAAAATGGTCCTACACCAAAAATACATACTGTTTTGAACAGATAACAAAATTTGCTATAAATCCATATAACTTTCCGTGTGATTTTGGAAAAATAAAATTTTCGCCAATTTTTAATTTTTTTATAAGGGGGTACCCCATGATTTTTTGCGAAAAATTAAAAATGAATAAATTGTCAAGGTTTAAATGCCAATCGTTAGGAAATTTAATAACGAGTTCAGAAAGGTATGACAATCCATACTTTGAATCAGTATTTACTTTGTTATAGCGAAAAAACGGGTTTTGGTTTTTTTTTGGAAATTCGGGATTTCAGTTTTTGACAAAAATGGAATTTTTTCTTTTGGTTTTTTTGCTGTAACTTATGCAAAAATGGTCCTACACCAAAAATTCATACTGTTTTGATTAGATAACAAAATTTGCTATAAATCCATATAACTTTCCGTGTGATTTTGGAAAAATAAAATTTTCGCCAATTTTTAATTTTTTTATAAGGGGGTACCCCATGATTTTTTGCGAAAAATTAAAAATGAATAAATTGTCAAGGTTTAAATGCCAATCGTTAGGAAATTTAATACCGAGTTCAGAAAGGTATGACAATCCATACTTTGAATCAGTATTTACTTTGTTATAGCGAAAAAACGGGTTTTGGTTTTTTTTTGGAAATTCGGGATTTCAGTTTTTGACAAAAATGGAATTTTTTAACTTTTCTTTATTAATTTCTTTACCCAGTGTAAATTCCGCCTACGAAGCACTAAGAAATTTAATACCCACGGAACCCATGAATCGAAAGCTCTCAAAGATCGAGATTATCCGCCTGGCCAGCAGCTATATAACGCATCTTAGTAGCACCCTTGAAACAGGTGAGTTTCGAAAATGTAAGAATCACATTATATTAATTAATGTTAATTAACTTTAAAGGAACTGAATGCCAGCCATGTTTGCTACACAAATACGAGAACGAAGGAATCACCAGGCGAATCAGCATCTGCACCTTCTGCCTGAAAACCAAATGAAATTATTGATAACCTGAACATTTCTTTATTTTTTTATATTTTTTTGTCGTATTTATTGCATTTGAAAATCTATTTTAAAATTTGCGCCTAAGTGCAGCGCCATCTATTCTAATCTTCTGGAACTTTGAAAGTGAACTGCTTGCTGAACTGCTTTTCGGCACATTATTATTATTCGATCTCGTTATGTATATAAAAATAAATAAAATAAACAATATAATTTATTCAATGTTTTTTTGATTTTATACTTTATATACGGATTTGTAAATAAATTGAATATTATTGAATTTGCCGCCAAAGTGTCGCCCTCTGCTCGGTTGTTTCGCGCAGCTCAACAATTACAAAAGAGCACTGCTTTAAAAAAAAGCTAAATACACTGTAAATAAAAAAGATCTTTTAGAGATAGGACCAAAAACTAAAACATTTAAAATCCAAATGGAAACATTATATTTCTTAACAATCAGTAAATGTGAAATTAAATTATAATTTTCTTATTTATTTATCCTGCGAAAAAGAACACACGTTTTAAAGAATTGCTATTTACATATTATTAAAAACTACGATAAGATTGAATTTAATAAGATTAATTAATAGCTAATTTTTTAAATTATGGCCGCCAAAATCTAGAGAAAATCTAGCTATTAAATAGCTAATCCAAAGGGCGGCTGAGTATTTTAGCCAGAAACGACAAAGGGTCTCACTAATTGCGCCAAAATATTTGGAGGCAAAACTGAAAATAGGAAATGCTTGTTTAAATAGTTAAATTAATGAATTAAAAGTATGGCCACCAAACGTGTGCTGACGCCCAGCAAGTCGGACAATGGCGCCGCCCCTCCGCCCGCCAATCCGCTGAAGAAGTTCAAGGAGCAGCTGGATTTCGCGCCGGACGAACTGGAGAACATCGATTGGGGCGACGACGACGAGGACTTCGCTTTGGCGGCCCTTGGAGCTGTGGAGGCGATAGGAAGCCACCGGCTGGATCTCAGCGTTTGGCAGCGATGCGAGGTGCTGCAGGTGGAGCAGCTGGCCAAGAAGTCCGAGGGTCTGCGACTGCATGTGCGTCGGATTTCTGGCGGGGATGCGGAAACCGGAGTTTGCCAACTGCTTCCGCCCTGGAATCACATGACCCTGGAGCCCGGCGACACTGTCAGCCTGCTGGGCAGGTGGGAACCCGCCGCCTCCTGCCATGTGGTGGACAAGGAGCAGGGCTACTGCGTCTCCCAGCCGGATTTCCTCATTTCCGGCACCACAGTCACCGGTTCGCTCTTCTGCAAGCGCAAATCCGTCCTCCAGGAGCGTTTCCGCGGCCTGGATGCGGGCAGCTCGGTGGTGGGTACTCCTCTTGCCTCCCAAAGCCAACAAAAATCTAATTTGTATCCCCTTTTAGATGGTAATTGGCACCCTGGTTCATGAGTTGCTGCAAAAGGTGCTCCTTCAGCAGCTCTCCGCCAAGGCGGACATCCTTTCTGCCCTCCAGGAGATGCTGCGTAGCTCCTCGCTGGCCCACCTGCTCTATGCCAGCCAGCTCAGCCAGCCGGAAATGGAGGAGCAGCTGCTGAAATTCATTGAACCCATTTGCAGTTTCATTTCGCAGTACATTAAAGGTGATATTCCGGATGTTCTTCCTCCAGAAGTCTATCGTGGTCGCATCGCGGAGATCCGGGACATCGAGGAGAACCTCTGGGTGCCGCAGCTGGGGCTCAAGGGCAAGGTGGATGTGTCTGTGAGGGTGAGGAAATCGAAGCAACAGGAGGAGCAAATCATTCCGCTGGAACTGAAGACAGGGCGAGCCAGCTTCTCCATGGAGCACAAGGGCCAGTTGCTGCTCTACCAGCTGATGCACTCCGCCCAGGGACGCGACACCCAGTCGGGATTGCTGCTGTACCTCAAAGAGGGCCTGCTGCGCGAGGTGCCCAGCGGGCGGAATGAGCAGCGGGATCTGGTTATCCTCCGCAATGAGTTGGCTTACTGGTTGACCAGGGAAATGGTCGTTCCTTCCGGCAAAGAGGATCCCCTGGAGCAACTGCAGCTGCCGGAACCCGTTTACCATCACAGCGCCTGCGGAAACTGCGCCTACAACACCATCTGCTCTAGTTTTGCTAGCAGAGATGAGAGTTTAAACCTCAGCGCCTCGCATCCGCTGAAGAAACTGATGCCGCAGCTATTAAGCCACCTCCAAGAGGCAGATCACTCCTATGTGCATCACTGGTGCAGCCTTTTGGCCCTGGAGGAGCAGCACAATCGCCTGTCCTCGCAATCGCGCTACTTTTGGACCGAGGATCCAGAGAAGCGGCAAAAACAGGGCAGAGCCGTTTGCCACTTGAAGCTGGTGAAGAATCAGCGGGTCAAAGCAGAGGAGGGACGCTATCGCCAGAGCCTGGAGCTCGCTGAAGAGGCAGAGGCTCACCGGGATCTCAGTTTGAGTGGGGTATTTGTAATCCAATCCAAAAGCATTAATATCTTCTAATCTCTTTTATTTCTTTTTCAGTTTGACCTGGGTGAATATGTGGTCATCAGTTCGACTGCCCGCCTGGCCATCGCCTCTGGTTTTATCGTCTCCCTGTCAGCCCGTCGCCTGGATCTGCGTTTGGAGCGCGATCTTGGCCAGCTTTACCCCGAGGAAACCTTCATAATGGACAAGCACGAGTCGCAGAGCTTTGCCACCTTCAATTTCACCAATCTCGGGCTGCTGCTCTCAGATGGCCAGCGCTTCCAGGAGCTGCGCGAGATTATAGTGGCCCGGAAGCAGCCGGAGCAGCACAAGGTGCTGCCCAAGATCCTCCTGACCAAAGGAGCAGCGATGCTGGTGCAGCTGAACAAGGTACAGAAGACAGCAGCCCTGCGCGCCTTGACCACCAGCAGTCATCTGTTGATCAAGGGTCTTCCGGGCACTGGGAAAACCCAGACCTTGGTTTCCCTCATCCGATTGCTTCATCTCCTCGGGAAAACCATCCTGATTACGGCCCAAACCCACTCGGCAGTGGACAATCTGCTCCTGCGACTGCTGCCCTTCGATTTGCCCATGATGCGTTTGGGTTCTAGCTCCAGAATTCACAGCCAACTGGAGGGGATTAGCGAGGAGCGGCTGACGAGGGACTGTAAAACCCTGGAGGAGCTGGAAAAGTGCCTGGAGAAGCCCTCCATTGTGGGCGTTACCTGTTTGGGCTGCAATCATCCCATCTTTCAGCGCCGCCAGTTCGACTATTGCATCGTGGACGAGGCCACGCAGGTGCTGCAGCCCACTGTGCTGCGTCCACTGATGCACTGCAGCCGCTTCGTGCTCGTCGGCGATCCCGAGCAGCTGCCGCCGATTGTCCGCTCCAAGGAGGCGCGTCAGAGGGGCGCCGATGAGACGCTCTTCCAGAGATTGGACTCGCCCGCGGCCACCGCTGTGCTGAGCCTGCAGTATCGCATGAACAAGACGATCACCCGGCTGGCCAATGAGCTTACGTACGGAGGGGAGCTTAAATGCGCATCCGAGGAGGTCTCCTCAGCCCGCTTTCAACTGGAACTGGGCAATCCAGCACCCCGTTGGGTGCAGCGTGCCCTGCTAACCCATTTGGAGCAGGCGGTGACCCTGATAAATACGGGAGATTGCCAAGAACGCTGCCAGGAATTCGTGCAGGCATCCCAGCGACTGGTGGCCACCTGCTCCTCCATAGAGCAGAGCTACGGCGAGGATAGGGAGCAGGAAAATAGAAGTAAAAAGCGCGTTTCCAAGTACACAAACTACTGCGAGGCGGCGGTGGTGATGCACTTGCTCAGGCAGTTGCTAAAGTCGGGCTATGAGGCCTCCGGGATCGGCGTGATAGCTCCCTACCGGGCGCAGGTGGAGCTGCTCAAGAAGCTGGCCGCCCGGCTGGACAGCCAACTGGAGTGCAACACTGTGGATCAGTTCCAGGGTCGCGACAAGAACCTAATCATATATAGTTGCTCCAAAACAGGCGGTGAACCTGGTGATATGGAACGATCCCGCGAGGCGGAGATCCTGGAGGATCAGCGACGCCTCACAGTGGCCATTACGCGAGCCAAGAACAAGCTCATCCTGCTGGGCGATGTTCGGTGCCTGGAGCAATACGGACCCTTCCGGCGGCTCTTCAAGCACATCCCGGAGCGGTGTCGCCTCACGTTGGAGGAGGGCCGCATGGAGTTCACCTGGCAGCGGGTCCAAGAGGATCTATTGACGCTGCTGGACACCTAGGTAATTGTTTTGCTTGTCATTATTAATTGGGAATTTATATCATTATGTTTTTTGATTGTTTAAGTGGCTAGATGAAATATTTATTCTAAATGAAATTATGTCTGCTAAATAGTTAAGCTTTAATCTATTATATAATCTTTTTTTTCATATTATAGTTGATTAGGTAACACAGAATTATATTCACTTAAGTTTCACTTTCACTTTGCTTGCACTTCAAAATATTTGCATGTTCTGTATTAATAAAAATAATTATTAGCAATGAAATCTTTTGAACTTATTTAGGTCTCAAAACAAATATTTTGTACCAATTTAAAATTAATAATTGAAAACTTTAACACCTTAATAAATTGTGATTAAATTGCATTATCATTTAAACTTATTTAGGTCTCAAACTAAATATTTTTTACCTTTTTGAAATTAGAAATTTAATAAGCTGGTTAATTTTTTGAATCCTAACTTAGTCATAAAATTTATAAATAATTTTTGAAACGTTGGAAACTTTAACATCTTAATAAATTGTGATTAAATTACATTTTATTTCTTTTTGAAATTATAAATTTAGTAAGCTTGTTTATTTTTCTTAATCTCATATTAGTCATAAAACTTATAAATAATCCTTGAAACGTTGGTAGCAATAACATTCCTTAAAATATGATGATTAAATTGCATTATCAGGGATTTCTTTGGTCCGAGGTATTGTGTGTTAGCCTTTAATCCACAAAATAGCTTGATAAACTTTAGGATATTTGTGGCTCCCACCCACTCCACTTGGCTAACGGTTCGTGTGTGTTCTCGGTTGCACCTTCCACCTTCTTATCTCAATCCCAGTGGAAGTGGAGGAGTAGCGGAGTAGAGGTTCCCCCTTCCCAACGGAAGTTGGGCACCCCGAGGTCTGAGCTGCTGCTCTGCGTGCCCTGAATATATAGGTGTATAAATATTATACTTATATGCCAGCCATATGGAGACTTTGGGAAAGGGTCGCCTGCAGCGGATGCATTTAACAGCCAGGAGCGAACGTGAGTCATCCTGGAGATGATTATCGTATCATTATCGTCATCATCGTCATCCACGCGAGAGTTTGTTATGTTCGCCTGGGCAAATGGCAGTTACCAAATGCGAGATTGATTGCCCTCAAAAGCTGGAAAGGCAGAGGGAGAAATAAAAACGAAACCAAATGAAATGAAATTTAATGAAACGAAATGAAATGAGAAGACAGCTCTAAAAATAAGTAAGAAATGAAAGGCCAAACTGACGAGCCGAAGATTTAAATGCACTTTGTAACTGTAATTAATTTAAAAATGGAATTTAAAAAAATGGATAACCAAAGATTTCTATAAATTTGATTTTGAAATTTATGAACAACTTTTTAATGTGTCATTTAAATCGGATACCTATAAATCAAATTAAAACCCAATTTTCAAGCCAAAATAAAACTTTAAACTAATGCACAACTATTTTTTAAAAATAGCCCTTAGATATTTATTTTTTAAGGATTTATACGAAAGAATAATAAGAAATAATATTTAAATATAAATAAAATATTTATTTTAATATAAATTAATATTTAAGTACCAAATAACATATTTATCTTATTTTATGTAATACAAATAATTCTTAAATTCATTTTTTAAAATAATTAAATATAACACGAATAGATTAGATTAGCTCAGCTACGATCTATAAAATTTCCATAAATGAAAGCCATTATAAACTACTTATAATATAAAATACGACTACCCAAGTACCCGCACATAGAGCATAAAAACACCAAATAACTATTGGGGAGCAGAAAGCAAAGGCAAAGTCACCTATAAGATATGTAAGTTGGGAGTGGAGATATGTATGGAGTGGATTCGACTGGTCGAAAAGGAGAAAGAGGAAGAAAGACCCAGAGCAATAACAGTAACAGTCGGAGAAACAACAACAGCAACATAAGCAAATCGCTTGATAAAATATTTGAAATTCATTTCGCGCCGCCGCTTGGCAGCCGTTGGCATTTCGATGACAGCATTTAATGCTTATTATGTAAACTATTTTTTGTTGCTTTTCTGTTTTGTGACGCGGGAACTGGGAATTGGGAACTGAGGGATTGGAGTGGAGTGGATTGGGGTCCAAAACAAAGGTCAGCCACAAAATTATTGGGCACTGAATTGATTTTGAGTTCCGGCCAAACCCAAATTGAGGTTTTTTTTTGGTTGAAAAAAACCCAAAGACAGACTCAGACACACACATCGCTCCATCTTCATCTCCATTTCCATTTCCATGCCATCCACTTGTGTGCGCAACAAATTAAGCCCATTAAGCATCTTCGACCAGCATCAACCATCACCTGTTGCAATATATATTGAACACTCCACTCCATTCCACTCCAATCCTAACCAATCCAATCCCCGGATGATCCACAAAAGCTCGGGGCATCGTCTATAAAGCGGCTTAAAACTATGTGAAGCGAAGGGGTATTTAACTTTCGCACAGATTTCCAGGGAAAATTGCACAAATTTAATTTTAAAAATGAAGCAGACGGAAATAAAACTTTATTAGATTCAATTTAAGTATTTATTTTGGGAACCCCATTTTTTTGTTCATAATATAAAATTCTAAAAAATATATATCAAATAAGAGAAAAAATGGTTAATACAATTTAATAGGCGAAAATAGTATTTATTTAAATTAAAATATGTATTATTGAATAATAAGTATAAAAAGCCATTATAAATATTTTAAATTATTTTGTAATAAAATAAAAGTTTGAAATATAGGTACATATATTTAAAATTTTTTTATTGCATTTAACTATAAGCGTTTTCAGGGGAATCACTTTTTTGGTATTAATAAATATAAATAATTTAAATTAAAATATGTTTAATTAATAGATAAGTATAAAAAGCCTTTAAGAATAATTTTATTTATTAATTATATAAATAAAGTATGTATTTATAATAATTTATACTAATTTTAAGCGGAATCCAACATAAATAACTCTTTCTATTTACCATAAATACTATATAAATCTATTTACATTAACAATAACTTCTGTTGAAATCCCTTTTCCTATAAACAACACCCAGAATGTCTTGCACAATCGCCATTTACCTCGATAATGGCCGACAATTAGTGACCGATTTCACTGCCGTTTAACGCCAAAACCGCAAAAGTGTGTCCATAATTGATAATTTTCTGGTCTCGCAGCATAATTAAAGCAGCGCCATTAGTTGTTAGTGCGCTTTTTGTTGGCTTTTGTGGGTAATTTTAGGGCCTTAAGAACTGCGTTTGTTTGAGTGTTTTCTTGTGTTTTTTCTGTGCTTCTCTGCTGCTAACCGCTTAACTTGGCCAAAAGTGCCATGTTAACTGGTTTAACAGACGGCTTTTGCGGCTGCGCAGCAACTGGTTGCTTGGCTGCTGCTTGGCCTCTGTTATGTCGCATGTTGCTGCTTTCTGGTTGCTGTTGGCCACGCTTTTTGGCCACCAAACGGATTCAGTGCAGCGGCGACTCTCGAACGGTATTGTTGGCCTTAGCGGTAACTCCTCGCCACCGAAAGAAACTACACTCCGTTTTTATAATATTTTTTTTTGGTTGGCTGGAACTTTTCTTGCATTTTTCCCTGCATTTGTTTTTTTTTCGCCCAGTTTTTGCTCTTTTTTTCTTGTTGATTTTGCGTGCCTCGAGTGAATGTGGAAAATTCATTTGCAGATAGCCTTTCTGCGATTCGATATGTGTGTGGATTTAGTTATTCGGTTTATTGGGCCAAAAAGAGCGCCGCCGCGCCTGGCCGAAAGTGAAAAACTTAATGCGCAGACGTGTGTAACACAGTTTTTACTTTCGGCCTGGTTTTTATATTTTTTTTTATTTTTTTTCGGCATCTCTGGTGGTTGTTTTAGTTTTTGTTGCTGCTGGGAGGCAGTGGAGCATTTAGCCAAGATCTCTGCAGATTGCATAAAACAGCAGCAGCAACAGCAACAGCAGCAACAACAACTGCAACAACCGCATTTAGCCCAGTTTTCTGAGCAAATATTTTCCAAAAAGCTAACGACAAAAAATCTCACACTAAATCTTAGCATTATTTTTTCCTCCTCGTCGTTGTCGTCGCGTTTAACTGAAATAATAACAACAACAACAACGAGAGCAGCAGCAACATCAGCAGCAGCAACAGCAACAGCAACAGCGACAGCAGCAACACCATTGCCAGCAGCAACATCTAGCCCAAAGGAGCCTTGTATTGCCACCTCGACCAGCAAAAAGCCGCCAAAATGCTTCCGGTAAGTGGTTGCAATAGCAACTGAAATTGAAAAAAAAAACTAAAAAACTAAAACAACTCGTCGTCCGACATTAACTGCAAAACTGAGAAATCATTTTTATTTCGCTGCTTTTGGCCGCTTTTTGCCGCTTTTGTTGCCTGCATTTTGTACGCAATTAGCGCAAATCTGGCCAAAAGTCGTAAATATTTAGTCCAGTTCGGCAAAAATCGACACTGGACGATTGATTTCCTGGCCCCCGAAAAAGGGGAAGTGGGGGATTGGGTCTCTCTCTCTATCTCTCTCTTACTTGAACAACCTTGGCTGGATCCTTAACCGAAAGTTGTTATCCTTGCCGAGAGTAGAAAAGAAAAAATTCAGGAAAGATCCGCAAACTGGTTCCTCTTTTCGCTTTTCGTTCTCGTCCACAAACTGAATTATTCATCGAGGCCGCGATTTCGATTTCGTTTGCCCGGTTTGACTTGATATTAAAATGTCTCTCTTAGATGATTGCATAATTAATAGATGACACATCGTGCTGGGCGCGAAGAATTCTTCTGGGCTTGTATATAAGTTTTCAGCATCTACAGAAAGTAAAAGTATTTTATGGGGTTTTTTTTATAATAGTTGAAAATGTTGTGCTATAAAAATAATAGTTTTTTAAAGTAAACAAGTTCAAGATAAGATTTCTGGATTTTAGAGTATTTAAAATGTTTTCTTTTTTAATGTAAACAAGATCAAGATAAGATATCGAGATCTTAAGGTATTTTAAACGGCCTGGTAAAATATGTCTTCCTCATACAATATTTACATATGAATTCCAAAATCAAACATTTTTATGAGACCATAAAATATTTCAAAAATTTTAATTTAATTTACACTTGTCTAAAATTCTGCGAAACTGAATGCTTGATTGAGGAATTCACTTTAAAACAAAATAGAAAAGTGAGAGGGCCGAGGGATGCGCGCCCACATAAATTGGTCTAAAAATCATTTTTACGATCTCGAGACTTATGCAATGCCGAAACTTTTACCCGATTAACACCTCTGAAGACGTCAAAGACGTCGGCGATTGCAATTCCCATGCTAATCGAATCGATCGAGTGCAAAACTTTCAAACACGAACCCAAATCGCAGAAAGAGATGTACATTGCACGCATATTAAAGATGATGATGGTGGATACGCTTTATAAAGAAATACATCCCCGACTTTTACTATTTAATTTAGCTTAGGGGCCCAAATCGAATCGAAATATATATAATACATCCGCTTGGACCTTCGATGAGGCATATTTTCGGTCCGAACCTATGATATTTCTCTGGCTCATGCAAATTTTCAGCTGCGCATGCGCAGAAAACTCGTTTAGGAATTGTTTTTTATTTCTGTTATTTTAATGGCCCGCTTTTTGTTATTTTTGTCAATTTTTTTCGGTTTGAACTTATTTTTGGCCACGTTTTTTCGTGGGGACGCGGGGGCGAAACAAGTTTGACGACAAGTGCTGGAAAGACTAGGCAAAATGATGAGTCTTCTCATCTCAATCCTCCGCTTGACGTCAGTCTGCAAAAATGCGTGAGAAGAGGAAATTGGCTACGGCTTTTGTCTACCAAAAAAAGAAGAAGAAAGAAGAAAAACAGGCGGAAATCGGTGGCCCAGCCCCAGAAAATAAAATAGCAAATTGCAAATTCATGCAACAAAAGCAACTGCAACTGCAATGCAACATTGTAAGTTGCAACGCCAACGCAGCCGCACCCAAAAGACAATGACAGTGAACTGAAAATCCAAGACGAGTCGATCCAAACCGATCCGATGAGATCCCAAGCCTCCAAGATATATGCATATATTAAATCAGCCGCCTCTTCGAGCATCGGATTTTCAATTCAATACCCTTTCGAAAGGTCGCCTTGATTTACACAGATTTGATTTGCTTGCAACAATTTTGTATTCATTTCTGTAATTAATTTTAAGATTTGAAATTGTATTATTTTATTTCCATGGAAAATCATAGAAAACTATACCAAGAAATCCTAAAAAATCGTTATATTTTATCTTTTAAAATTTAGTGAAAGACAGATTCTAAATTAAATAGAAAAATATTTTAATTGTGCAGTTTTGGGTCAAAACAAAAACTAAGAAATAAAAATCAATACCTATAAAATATTAAAAGTTGATTTATTAAAACTATATTTTTATGCAGTTTTCTATGATTTATAGATTTTTTTTATGTATTTAATAGGAGTTGAGAAGAAAATATTTATGGCTTTATTAAACTTAAATTGTATTAAAGATAACAAAAACCCCAAATGATTAATTTCGCTTTACCATTTTTCTAAGCAATAAATCTTCACAAATAATTACAAAATAGCAAAGTCATTTAATAATGAAGAGTTATAATAGGTATTTGTGTAAAACCCAATTATGCGGTGCAATATCTTTGTGTAAACCATAAATAGCGACTTAAAAATATTGAGACTCCCTGCATCCCGATTCCGATCCCAAGTAAATGCGAATAATCTGACCCCGGAGGTGGCACATCCGCCTTTGGAGTCATGGAAAGGTTTCCAGATTGGCAAATCGGAATTCGCAGCCGGCTGAAAGTGAAACCCGATGAGCGGGGAGCTGAATGAAACAAAAAAAAAAAGTGAATGTATTTATACATATACTTACAGACCTATAGATTGAAATTGGCGAACTGCGGGGGGCGATGATGCGTTTTGGCATTTTATTCAAAAAGCATTATAGAAGAGTGTCATTAAGTTACCGGTTTTTGGGCTATTAAACCGCATTGGCCTGAAATTCCAGCATTCCCCGCGCAATCGCTTTTCGTAATTGTATCTGTCAGATGCACAGATACACGTGCATCGGGATCTGCCTTCAGTTTCATTGCAAAATTTGCCATTTTTTTTTCTGCTTCTGCAGTTGTTACTGGCTCGTTACGTATACGCCACCGGCATCGGCAGTGGTACCGGCACCGGCACTAGAGGGTTAAGGGGCGGGTTAAGAGCAGAGACATGCTCCAGAGACCGCCGGGATGATTCAATTCCATGACAACGACAACAGCGACAACAACGCTAACCAGCCATGTCTGCGAATTGTGGGCCAGTCGGGGGTTAAAAAGGGGGTCTTTCGTTCGGCTTTGATTTGGGAACATGCAAATCATTAACACGCCGACGGGCCAAGGGGGTGGGTCGGGTGCTGGCTCTCTTTGATATCTGAGTCCAGATATCCAGCTGAATTCGGTTGCAACTTTCGGGGTTTGGCAATCGCTCTTTAAGCTCTGCTTTTTTGATTTAGTGTTATTCCATTAAAATTTGAACAAATTAAACGGTTTTTAATTAACACAGAAAAAGATCAAAAAAGATCAGGTTAATTTAATATTTTTTACATTAATAAATAACATTAAATATATCGGTTTTTTATTGATATAAAACAAGGAACCATTTGGTTTCTGTGAATTATTTGAATTTAAGAATTATAAGCTTGGTATTTTTTCGTCAATTTTTTGATAATATTTTTTTTTAGCTTTGAAAATATTTATAACTCAAAACAAAGATAAACAAATAAGTAAAGTGCTTCCTTGGCGACTTAAAGCCCAGCTCTTGGCCAATTAAAAAATATATGTTCAATGGCCAGCACTTTCCATCAAAAATCAGATTCCCACCCTTGGAGCCCAGCCTCTGGGGCCTTTTGGCGAAGCACTTGAGACGTAACTGTTAATTCAACTGACAGATATAAGCATATATATATAGCAAAAATATTTATACGTATATGCATACAATTTCGTGTTTTTACAGACAGACTCATGGATCGGTTATGCCGCCTGAAGGTCAACGTGTTTCGCGCGGTGGTGGGGAAAAAAAGCAAGAGTTATAAATTAATTTATTAAGCCAGAGCGCCGAGCTGGCCAAGTTCCACTCGCCGCATTTAAACTTGTTTTAAAGCAATAACAAAACAAAGCACTTGCTCAAATTCCTGAGTTTTGAGTCTTGAGTCTTGACCAACGGTCCAACTGACCCCCAATTGGTATTTAAAAGAATGTGACTGCATTTGCCGCACAAAAAGAGCACAAATGGCCCAAACGAAACGAAACGAAACGGCTAAGAAAATAAATCAAATCGGGGAATGGAATGGAGGGTGAACAATGGCCATTTTAATTGCCACAAGGATGGCGTCTAAATAAATGTTGATTGGGTGACAGAATCGGGCAGAAAATGGAGACACTAATGAAAATATGTCAGGGAATTCGGTTAATTCAAAAATATAAATAATAATAATAAATTATATTATTTATATTATATTATTATATTATATTATTATTTATATTTAATAAATTATATTATTTATTATAATAAAAATATTACTTATAAAAAATGACAATTAAAATGGAGATTTTGGATAATTAAAAAATATATTAATAAATCTTAAAAAAAATGTTCTTCTAAATAAAATTTCCTATAAATAAATCTATATATAAAATCTATATAAAAAATAAATCTATAAAAAAAATTTAAATTTATAAAGATAGTTATTACTTCTGAAAAATACTAATATTAAATTATTGTTGTTTTTTTTCAATTCGTCCCTTTAAATAATGAATTCGTAAAACCTTTCTAACTTCTTTCCCAGCGCATTATTTTTCCACTCTCACTTCCTCCAATTTCCATTTAATTTTCGCTTGCTAATCCAAACAATAAACTAACAATATCAAAATAACACAACATTATTTTATAATCAAAAAATCAAAGAAAAAACCAAAATTCAAAGTCATGCTTCGATCTAATTAAGTTGAGCCCCCGGCTAATCGGATGTAACAATGGCATTATCTTTATGGGCGCCCAAAATCTCTTTCTTAACCCCCCAACGCCCCTTAACCCACTGGGTTCCACTTCACGGAGCCGCCGAAAATCATCCAAAATTAGCCAGTGCCCAGTTTTTGACCTCAGCCTCTCTTTTTTATCTCGTCTTTTTGGGATTTTCATCTGCAACTCAACTTGAACCTGAATGTGCATCACGATTATTTCGCTTT